AAGTGATGGCAGAGGCTCATAAGGGTCATTTTACAGTTCATCCGGGAGCTACAAAGATGTATCAGGACCTAAAGATGAATTTCTGGTGGCCTGGTATGAAGAAAGATATTGCCGAATTTGTCTCTAAGTGTCTCATTTGTCAGAAGGTAAAGATTGAGCATCAAAAGCCTTCTGGTATGTTACAACCTCTGGATGTTCCTGAATGGAAATGGGAGAGTATCTCCATGGATTTCGTAGTGGGATTGCCGCGAACACAGGCTAGTTATGATTCTATATGGGTGATTGTGGATAGATTGACAAAATCCGCACACTTTTTGCCAGTTCGGGTAGATTTCTCTGCGGAGAGATTGGCTAGGCTTTATGTGAAGGAGATTGTGAGGCTTCATGGGGTGCCTGAGAGCATTGTTAGTGATCGGGACCCGAAGTTCACTTCTCGCTTCTGGGGAGCATTGCAGGAGGCTCTTGGCACTCAGTTGAGACTGAGCACTGCTTATCACCCACAGACGGATGGTCAGACTGAGAGGACCATTCAGACGTTGGAGGATATGCTGAAGGCTTGCACCCTGGAGCAGGGTACTGCATGGGATCGATATCTCCCACTGGTTGAGTTTTCATATAATAATAGTTTCCATGCTAGTCTGGGTATGGCTCCCTACGAGGCCTTGTATGGTCGCCGGTGTAGGACACCTACCTGTTGGTCTGAGGTTGGAGACACAGAGCGGTTTGGATTGGATTTTGTTCAGGAGACTACTGAGCAGATCAAAATGATTAGGGATCGTCTGAAAAAGGCTCAGGATCGTCAGAAAAGTTACTATGATCTCAAGCATCGACCTCTAGAGTTTGAGGAGGGAGATCATGTGTTCCTGAAGCTGTCACCGGTTACGGGTGTGGGACGAGCCCTTGGAGTGAGGAAGCTGAGTCCGAGATTTATTGGACCCTACCAGATTCTTCGTAAGGTGGGACCGGTTGCCTACCAGCTTGCCTTACCTCCGCAATTAGCAAATTTGCATGATGTGTTTCATGTTTCTCAGCTGAGGAAATATGTAGCTGATCCTTCTCATGTGGTTCAACCTGATAATGTTGAAATCCGGGAGAATTTGAAGACTCCTATTGGACCACTGAAGATACTCGAAAGAGATGAGAAGAAGCTGAGAAATAAATCTATTCCTATGGTGAAAGTCCAGTGGGAAGGAAGGACGCCTGAAGAGTCCACTTGGGAGCGGGAAGATGAGCTTCTCCGGCAATATCCTGAGTTTAAGGACATGTACGTTCTTGATTTTGCGGACAAAATCGCTAAAAGGTGGGGTGACTATAATAGCCCATATTAATTAATTAGGAAATCAAGTGTAATTAATTAATTAAACATGTTTTATTGGGTGAAATTAAGTATGAGGCTTAATAAAATGAATCTGAGTCACTTTGGAGTTAAAAAGTGTACTCAGTGAAAATTAAGGGGTATAAATGGGTACTGGTGAAAGTGCCCAAAATATAAAAATAAAAATAGTAATATTCCTAGAATAATATTCCAGACTTTTGGGTAGAGTTTGGTAATTAATGGAGTTGAATAGATAGATGAACCGATACCCGCTTTTTAACCACTTAACAAAGTTAAGTGGCATAAAGTAAAAAGCAACCAATTCCCCTCCCCATTTTCACGACGCCAGAAACAGAAAAGAAGGAGAAAGAAGAAGAAGGAGAAGGAGGAGAAAGGGAGAGAGAAGAAGAGAGAGAGGAGGGAGCAAATCCCAACCGATTTGAGTGATTCAAAAGCCTAAATCGCTTAGAATCTCGCCCTCTTTCATAATCCTAGCTTTGTTTTGAGTGGGGAGCATTGTGAAGAGAGATATTACCCCTCAAAAATTCGACCATTTGAGTGATTTTGGGGTTTTGGGAAGTTCAACCTCCATGGGAGCTTGAGGAACACTCCTTGCTTGGTTGTGTGACCATTGGTGGTAAGACTCTAACCCTTGAACCTCATGATTCCTTGAAATTTGCATAAGTTAGGGTTTGTGAATAGTAAATTGGGATTTTTATGAAATGTAGTTGAATTGACTATGTTCTAGGAAGATTTAAGCTTAGAGCATGTTGTGAAAAATGCTAGGAACGTCATTTAATCGGTGGAAATGAGCCTAGATAGTCATTTGGTAATTGTTCATAACATTGGAAAATTCATACTTGGATTGGTTGGTATTCTAGCATGTTGAACAATTAGTGAGATGAATGATTGATTGTGTCCTTGTGATGTCTAGGATTGAGACATTTGGACCAACCGTGAGTGAGCAACCATTGGAGCAAGCTATGGAGCTTGATTAGCTCCATTGGATAGGTGAGTTCATGCTTATGTTTGGTATGAAATGTATAGCTTGGTTGATAGCTATGAGATGTTATTGGATGCAATATGTGTTAATTGCATTAAACCTTGTGTAGGTTTTGTTTGAGAAGTGAAGTATTGTAATTGACTGACTGTGGAACCTGTTGGTGGTGAACAAAGGTTGACTGAAGCATTGAGGTAAGCCTTCGGACCTTGGGTGTAATTCCCTTGACTGTTCTACCAAGCCCTGAAAGGGTGGAGGTTGTGATTGTGTATATAAATGCAATAAAATAGTGTAATGCTTTGTTATACGTATGTGTATGCATTTGGTGTGGCATAGGATGGTGTTTCCCTATGTTGGTATGTGGCATGACGATGCGTAAATCATACTTGGTAGTTAGCTGGCCAGTAGGACTATTTGCATCTGAGTTTCCTTAGGACAGCTTGAGAGCTCGAGGGATTTCTCCTGGAGATGTATTGCACTTTGCATAGATATGTATTTACTGCATTATTATTGTTATTGCTATTACACTAATATGGAACTGTGGGGTGGAGAGATGCTCCAAGGACCCCTGGTTTACTGGATATATTCGTATATCTCACCCCGTGTTGTGGGGACCCCCTTTCAGGTAAGGATGCTGCAGGAGCCTCTGGTGGCAAGTGGCCATATCTGGATTATGCATGAAATGTGGCATTTCTTTTGAGATTGTACATGTTGTTTTGTAGCTCACATGTATAGAATTAAATGAATAGGCAATGCTAGATTTATGATTTGTATATTGGAATGGACTTAGCCTATGCTCATGCCTTTGGTCATCTCTTTTGTTGATCGGAGCCATGGGAATGATCATAGTAATTTGTAAGCTAAGTTCCATGATTTGTAATGGGTATGTAATGTAAATGATGCCACTTGAAATTCAGATATGCATGCTATCATGTATTGAGTTGTGAATTGGTTGGGCTGAAAATCAATTAGGTACCCTTTTGTTTAAATTGGTAAACGATGAGAAAACAAAGGTCATGCTGCCCAAATTCTAGCTAAATCTCATGAGGAGAGGTTGGATGAGTGCTAGGATTTAGTTTTGGGGCATGGACAATTGGGGTTTGTAATGGGGATGCATTTCCCCTAGGCTTGGACTTGGGAAATGTGGGAATTGGAATTCCCTGGCAGCGCGCTTAAGCGCCCAGGAGCGCGCCCAAGCGCCCTGCTGCCCCTGCGAGTGCCAAGGCATTCTGCCTCCTCGCGCTGGAGCGCCCAAGTGGGGGCTTAAGCGCCCGGGATTGCGCGCTGGAGCGCCCTGGTCCGCGCTTAAGCGCCCTTCGCCACTGAAGGAGGAGATGCTTCTGTCTCTGCGCGCTAAAACGTCCCAGTGGGAGCTTGAGCGCCCAGGCTAGCGCGCCTTAGCGCCCTGTTGCGCGCTTAAGCGCCCATCCACACTGGAAATGTTGATGCTTACTGCCTCCGTGCGCTTAAGCACCCAGATGGAGGCTTTAGCGCCCGATAGCGCGCGCTTGAGCGCCCGGTAGCGCGCTGAAGCGCGCTGGGCCTGTGACCAACACTCTCTTGTGTTGCTTCAAATGGTCCTAACTTGGGCTACAGTGCTCCGATTTGAGCACGGTTTGAAGCCACAGGTAGCTAATGAAGAAACCTACAATATAGTAGAAGTATTGAACTAAACAAGAAGTAAATTAAAGGTTTAAAAATGGAAAATGAACATGATGTTAAGCTTAATTTATCTGTTTCCGCAAGGTAATTTGGTTATGATCACGAAATTGGGTATTATAAATTCGGCATGTTTTAAAAAGAAAAATTTATCCGGATTTTAATTGAACCCATGTGATTGTAACTGCGCTTAATATCATAATGCGATGTTAACAAACCGGTTCTAGAACGGGGTGTTACATATACCCTCTCTTCCCCCTTCTCTCTCTTCCCTTCTCTCTCTGACTATACAATCTGTCGCCGACGCCGCTTCCCATCGCCAACGCCGCGCAGCTACCCATCACCACCGCCGCGCCGCTGTGTAGGGGGTGATGGACAATAGAATTGAATTCCCATCCATCCTCATCCTCTGTATCTGAATTCAAATTGCTTGCGTTCGAGTTCATTAGTCCATCAGTGTTTGGATTAGGAGCAGCAACATTCGATATTGAAATTGATCCGTTTTTGTCAGAATTCATTTGAGGTGGGCGCTAATAATACAAATTCGAAATCAAGTAGGATATTCCAATGGACCCGTTCGTAGCGGATCCCTTTTTCACAACATCACTATTGGAGAAAACATGGGCAGAAGCAGGTTCCTCCTCCTCTTCCTCGCCAAATATTGAAAGAGGAATAGCTCCCCCGAGGCTTTTCTGCCAAAACGGCAATGCCGTTGTTGTCGTTTGCATGTTTCTGCGAGGAAACCCCAAATGGTTCAATTTTCACCACGTAGGGGCAGTGGCAGCGGCGATAGAGTGCGGCGGCGCGACAGTGGTGATGGGCAGCTGCGTGGCGTCGGCGATGGGAAGCAGCGTTGGTGATGAGCAGCAGCAGCGACAGATTTTATAGTTAGAGAGAGAAGGGGAAGAGAGATAAGGGGGAAGAGAGAGTATATAAGGATCAAATCAGGACCGTCGGATCAAAAAACTAATCTAACGGTGCAATTATTGGGTAGTAACCCAACTTGGTTGTTACAATATCCTACCCCAATATTAATATGAAACTTACTTTCATAATTGTACGAGCTTACCAAGTAGTATCTAGAATTTGCCATTACATCCCTCAAGCACTCAAGCTCATAAATATGAAGTTTATGTCTGTTGCCTCGCGTGGAAAAATTGTAATTACAGGAGGAGTTTCTTGACCATCTGAGAGATTTAACCACTAGTATTTTTTTTTTTTCACCTTTATAGTTATATGTATATATAATAGACCGAAATCCTAATCACTTTAACTTGAGCTTTTCAGCTGAATATACCCCTTTTGTTGTACTTATCCTCTTTACTTTCCGAGGTGAATATTTCTGAATCTTCTCTTTGCCTTTATGACTAGATGCCTTACTTGGTTGTGCAGCTTTTTCTCCGCCATTCCTCCTATCAAACAAAGGACAAAAATGTCAAATCAATGGACTACCAGAATCAGCACTACCTCAGCCTAAAAAAAGGGGGTCAAACACAAACCTTAGGTGCAGAAACATGAATAACAAACCAACAGCAGCTGCACCACCAACGACTGATCTTAGTAGTAGCTTCTTTTGGGGTTTTCCTTTTGGTATTTCTATATCCCTCTCTTCTGTTTCAACTAAATTTTCTAAGGAGTGCACGCTCTCATCTTCTGGTTTTATTTCCTCCTACATAACAAAATTGCAAGACAGACTCAATTTGCATACGAAAATGAATTAATATAAGCATGCCTGAGAAAGGATCAGGACAACTTACTTTAACATGCACCAAACAAGTATGTTCTGAATGGTAAACAGGGTCCTTGTCGTATGGACATGCTTGATGACCATCATTGCATTCAATTTTTGAGCTTCGATTTGATATGCAGAATCCAGTGCGAGATACATCTTCATCACTATTGGCAGGAACTACAACATTATTGGTTATCATATCTAGCACTTTCTGACTGCCGTCTACCATGTCTTGAGTTGTGCCACCTTTGCCACTGAAATCATTAACATCATCACCAAGAGTGGGACATTTTTCACTGTCATCTACACGTGGAGCATTTGATGCAAGAGCCAGACGATCATTTTTTAGCTCTTTACTATCAGTTCCCAACTTAATAACAGCTGCATTAAGTAAATCTTCTTCATTTGGTACACCAGACAAAATAACCTTGGACGTCAAGACTTCAAACGCTTTTTGTTTACAAGGTGTAGTTTCCGCAGGTGAGCCATTCTCCAAAAAACATGAGGAACTTTGGTTATCTTTAGCTCCATGTGATGTCATAGCACATTTTCCTTTCCGATCCCATTTACAAAACTCGGGCAAATAATAAGAGTGACAGGACAGAAACTCCTCAGATTGGTTGCAACTAGCATTATCCAAGCACTTCAAATCAACTTGAGACTCCCTGTCTTCATATGTCATAAACTTTTTCAGTATAGTTGAGCTAATGTCATTGCTGTGAGGTACAGCTCTATCTGAAGAATTAGTATTGCGAAAGTAACAATCAGGAGAATATGATGAAAGCTCAGCTTCATCAAATTTCTTTACAAAATATGAATGTCTTGCATTACAAGTGATACCATATGCCATTTCCTTACATTTCATTATGTCTTGAGATTCATATTCTTCTTTAATCATGTCCCATTGATAACTCTTAACATTATGTAATTCAAAAGACTGAATGTTCTGGAGATTGTTCTCTGCATCAAATTGATCTCCCAAGTTCAATGCTACCTTTGACAAACACCTCATGCCAGCTACTTGCAGAACCTCCGTATTATCACCAATTTCAAAACATCTACCATTGCGAATAGTCAGTGGGGTTGGGTTCGAACCATGAGAGCTAGCACTTTGATGGACATTTGGTGTACTATTTTCTTCATGAAACAAATGAAGTTCCTTTCTATCTTTTGCATGCGAGCTAGCATCTCTTGTAACTGGTGTTTTGTCATTCGTAGGAGTCCCACTGATAGAAGCATTATTTCTTAACAACACATGCTCAAAGCAATCAAAGTCCATAATCCTACTTTCTTGGACTCGTTCGTCGCTAGTATCTAAATTAGATGTCGTACCAATAAAGTCAATATATAAATTCTCGCAAGGAGATGATGACCAACTCAGCTTACAATCATGCTCTATATCCTGAGAGCAATGATATTGCAATGATTCCAGTGAATATGACAAATCAAACTCATCATTAGAATTTTCATTTCTCTCTTGAATATCCACTTGATCTAAATCGTCTGGCATGAAAACACCTTCAACCACTGAAGATGGTATATTGTAGTTTATCTCTGATGTATAATCATCCAAATCATCAAATTGTACTGGATGCTTGATTTTTGTGTCATCAGATTGGTCTGAGTATGTCTTGTAGTCTCTGGTGGAGCCTGTAACTGAGTAACCCTACAGAAGTATCATGCTTTAGAGATACAAGAAGCAAAATGATTTGGTAGAAGCACAAAGTACAGTCCATGACATTCACATAGATGCCTATTGGGGGGTTTGTGGGGGGGTGGGTTGGCTTGGTGGGGAATCTAACCTCAGACATCATCATCATACACAAGTTCAAAAAGAATTAGGCCGTTGCCAATTTTGTTACATACCCGTTGGCTTTGTAACTAAATGTTTTATTTTAACTGATTAGTGACATCAAAGACATACCTGTCTAGATTTTCCTCTCGCATGCTTCTGTGAGTAATAATTAGAAGAATCTGCAAGGATGCTGTGAGACAGCTCTATGTTTCTGCGGATGCATCCCACCAAATCCTTGGGCATGGCTACCATGCAAGTCACGATATCAAAATCTGGAACCTGTCACCGCTTTCTTACATTAGCAAAAACCATTATTTAGAGAGAGAAAAAAAATAAGGGCAAGTAAATCAAGATTATAGGGAATTTTGAGACTTCCTTACATTTATATTCATAGACCTTGATTTTTTGGAGAATGAGCGTATACACATGCAAACTCTACGAGTATTTCTTCTCTCAACTGCATCTGATGGAGAGAAGAGGTCAACGCCAGTCAATCCCAAGATCTTGCAAATCTACATATTAAAAGATATTGAGATTACTAAGATATCCAGTTATTGATGTATGTTTACACCATTCAAAAGTTGCAAATATAAATAAATAAAATGAGGTTTCAGAGTTTGTCTTTCTTGTATTCTTATGCTTACATCAAGAGACTTATCTACTATTTCAAACAAGTCAGTTTCAGCACAACATATAGAGAAAACATCAAGGAGATGGAACTCAATTACACAAGAAAACAAAACAATACAAAACAAAGGAAAAACAAAACATCCTAGAATTCAGCTTCCAAACTTACTTGACAGGGAAAGGAAGAACTAATGAATGGTTGAACAAAACTTCAACTCTATAAACACCCACGGAACTGTGCTTCAATTTGGACACAAAAATTTGTAAATTTGCCACCCCCAAAGATGCAAATAAGCCTCAGGGAACATGCTCCACGTTACAAAAGCCATTACCATTCTCCATACAACCACATTGCACTGAATTTAAATCAAATATCAAGGACAGTTACTGGTTTCAGAACAATAATGAAAACTTTAAATTTTACTTCTCTCTTGGTTTGGTCAATAATATCAGTTGCCTGGTATAAAGTGTCACTGAATCCGTGCGATCACTTCAAAAAGTATTCAAACTATATTCTCTCACAAGCTAAAAGTAAGGAAAATATAACAATTATTCCCTTAATTTGTGAAAAGGAAGAGGTATGTAATATAATCAAATTAAGTTACCTTCAGAAATGAATCAACATTAGAATAAGGCCTATATCTCCCGCCTGTCTTCTTAGAAGCAAATGGCTGGCTTTTGTATACTTTTATATGCCTTAGCTCCATATGCTTTGCTAACAGCAATTTCCACACCACTTTTGACACTTGAAACCTAAAAATCAATAAAATTGTATTTGGGTTTCAAAAAATGCTTCTGTAAGCTTCTTGGAGTTAAATTATAATCAAAACAAGCAAGTAGTGCCACCCTTTAATTCCCATATAAAAGAGACAAAGTAAAAGTACACTCTTTAATTTCTATTCTGTTGAAGTCAAAGTCTTTCACGAGGAATTGATTGGAGTCTTGCTGTAGATTAGCTTGAATAAATCATAATATTTAGGAATTGCCTATATCATCAGAAATTCTATATAGAATAGAACTATAGCATAATGATTTTCACTCACTGATCGATGTTAAGTTTTTAACAGCCATTTCTCAAACCAGATGAATTTTCAAAAGTATTGTTCTTTAAAGTAACGATGTGATTTTTCTTATGGGCAAAAGTTAAGAAGGGAAATTCAATTATACACCAACACAATAATAATAATAATAATAATTTATAACACTGTACATGGAAGTATTGACAATGATACATGTTTAGTTATTAATGTTTTCCCTCCAATTTCCTGATTTTGATGGAGCTTTATTCACAATATTATCAATTTAAATTATTTACTATTCAAAATTAACTAAATGAAGAAAATGATCTAATATGTTTCCTATTAACGTTATTTGTATGTTTAGTATTAGCCTTTGATAGACTAAATATATACAAAATACATCATGAATTAATTTTCAAAATATCTCAACCTTAATATATAAATATTAATAAAATAAGTAAAAACACACTACATATCTACTATAAAAAAACACACCACATGCTGGTGGTAGCAGTGAATTGTGACATCCATTTCCCACTACTTTCCATGAAAGTGGTGACAATCACGTGTTAGTTATTGATTAATTTTCTTTCTCAAATTCCCCTGATTTTATCCTCAAAATTACTAATTTTCATTATTTAAACCGAATCAAAAAAATCATCTCATTTGGTTTTAAACATTATATGTATGATTAATATTAGCTTTTAATACCCAAGTGTGGTGGCTCAGTTGGTAGCATGGGGATTTGAGTGGTGAGAGAGGACCTCGGTTCGAATCCCACCAACACCATCTGGGGAGGGCATAAGTACCGTAATTCTTAGACTCGCACCCGAACTCTGGATTAATTTTCAAAGCATCTCAACCTTAACACATTAATAGTAATGATTATAAAATTAAAAATGTTGAAACCAAATTATTCAATTTCATAATAATAATTTAGCATATGCATTGCTTATTTAACAAGACCGTGAATCACACATGTTATCTATCAAGTATATACATAAAAAGTAAAAACCAGATACGTACAGCAATTCTCCATCAGCAAGTAGTTCTGATATAATTAGTTGCTCCTCTAATCTTATCTGCAATACTTCTCCTAGCCAAATTCTCGTTTGAGTCTGTAAATTGGAAAACAAAATAGCTATAATGAACAAATGATATATCATCTTGAAATTAGTAACAAGGAAAGGGGAAAGAAAACAACCTATAACATAAAGAGCAAGAATAAATAATGAAATAAAAAAAGATAAAGACGAAGTGTGAACTAGAGAATCATGGTTCATGTCTCGCAGCTAGAGGATGAAAAACAATTCCGATACTCAAGTGATTAATACTAGATGTGTTTCTCACGCAACTTCTATATCTGCTTATATTTATTTGTTAGACGCATAATCAACAAGTTCATTCAACCTCTAACTTCACATGGTTTCAAAGATGAAAGTTTGCAGTCATGCTCAACTTTCAAATAGAAGAATAGAAAGCTCCTTCATTGATAAGAAATTATTTTATTTTATTTTTAAAAAAAAAAGAAAGCATGGATAATTTGTGAAACAAGAAGTTATCTCCTCTCACAAATTCTCTACCAGGATCATGTAGCTATAATTACTGATATTTCACAAAATTTGTCAAGCATGAACAGCAAGAGAAGCACCGTTACATATCAGCTCAACTTTTCATTTTCTCACAAACCAAATTCTTTGCATACATTTTTATATAGTCATATAACTTACCGGTTCAAAACGAAACGAATTGCATTAAGTATTAATAAAATTTAAGAGAATACAAAACAAACAAAATCTCTTCATTTCCCCACCCGGTTTTGAAGGAATTGGATACAACAACATGCATAAGCATCGTAGAGCTAAAAGTTGATAAGAAGGAAAACAAGATGCAATATAAATTTAATGCATATTAGAATAGAGTTAATCCAATTTTTCAAGTAAGAAAAATGTCACAAGGCTTTTTGCCGATCTACAGTAGTAACAGGAAAAGGAAAAATAAAATAAAAAATCTTCTTCCAGCATCCAGCTCAGACTAACCCCCAATCAAACAACACAAGCAGATTCTAAAAGCAAAAACAATTTGATGGATTACAAAATCGGAAGAAGAAACAACCACCAAAGTAAGAAAATAAGAGTGAAGGAGAGAGTGAGAGTGATAAACCTGCAGGAATGCATCGTCGAGTTCACGAAAGCTAGATTCGTCAGTGGAAGGAGATGAATCAGCAGACGCGACGATTTCGAGAAGCTCCGAGGATGGGGCAGTCTCCAATAATGGAGATTCCTCACAAACCATCACTCTGTTTTCCACCCAATACGAATGCAAAAATAAGACACGACAACCTCAACTACATCTACATGTATCTCTATATGTAACAAGCTAGCACCTAGTACATTTTACTAGTGTATATATATATATATATATATATATATATATATATATATATATATATATATATATATATATATATATATAGAGGCAGGAGTCCTTTTAACACCGGTGTCAAAGAAAAAGTTTGACACCTCATCTGGGAACCGTTAGATTAAAAAAAATCAATGGTGTCACATGTTTACAAATCAGAAGCGTTGATTTTTTTTAATCTAACGGTTCCCAGATAAGGTGTCAAACTTTTTCTTTGACACCGGTGTCAAAGGATCCTGCCTCATATATATATATATATATATATCTGGTTTGGTTCTTGTTTTGTGCAATAGACAAAAAGTGCTGTGCAGCCACAAAAGACACTGGGGATTGTGCTATTCTTTTTGTGTTCTTTTGGTTCTCACTAGCTATAGTGCCCGCGAAATTTATGAGGTCGGAGTTTTTAAGGCTCTCCACATTCACAACCACCTTTCATTTCATTCATTCCATTTCGGTGGTTGGGTCAACATCTCCTATCTTTATTTTTATTAATATTACTTCTCTTTAAAATATATGTTTCCATGTGGAACTGTCAAGTGTGAATTTTGATTAATCTGTCTTGAACAATTATCATATAAATTATATTCCTTATTAAATGCCATATTTTGAGTTGTAAAATATCACGACAAACGGCAATCTGTCCCACTCTCGAATGTTACTTTAATGATTAGGTTTACATGAATGCATACTTAAATTGAATACCACAAAAAAAATATCAAAATAAAACGGAGAATTGGCCTTATAAAACGGCCTAATCAACGGTCCTTTTTAAAGTTTTTTTTTTTTTTTTTTTTTGAGTTTCCTATAAATATCATATCCGAATAGTCAGATTAATTCTTTTGAGACGTAAAAATTATTAAATTGAATTTTATCTGTACCAACAATTTTTTTGTTCATATACATTATCAGGAATTGAACCCCAACCCCTAACAGCATATTTAAGGGATCTAAAATAAAATATTTTATCTTGCTATCGATGATGAGAAAAGTATTAATTATTGTGTGTTCCGTTTTAAAATATTGAAGTTTAGAATAGATGATTGCTCTTTGGTGTTTCATTTTTGGCTTCATTGAATATGGCATTGAAGGTAACAACGTGGTTAAGTGGAGATCAGGCAACAGACACGTACACGATGTAGTTCCCACACCCCACATCACATAATATGATAATACGAGGATTGCGTTACGTGTCTGTTCCATAAACACTCCCTCAAATCTTGTCTCTCTGTGCTTTCCTTTTGTCTTTCACAGGTCAGAATTCGATCACTTTTTTTTGTTTTTTGTCTCCAAGGATTGACAAATTAGACGGGGAAGGAATATTATCAATCATAAGCCTGAATCAATTTACATCGTGTAAAAATATAAGATTTTATATTTAATTTTAATCATTGATTCAACTCATATTTCTAATTAATGAAAGTTATTAAATATAAATTACTAAAATTAAAAGTATAATGTCATCGTATAAAATATGAAATAACAATAGGATAGGGTTGTAGCCCATTTTAAGTCTCCCTTCAATCCTGCAAAAGGAAAGGAAAAAATAAAAAATAAAATTTTCAAAAATTGAAAGTGTATGATGTACACATCAATTTTACAGATCCAATACTGAATCTATTCTTATCTTAATTTATATTAAAATGCCTTTTATGGTAACTGACTATTAAAGCAAATAATATCATCGAAATGCCACCAGTGGGTTGACCAGACCTTATTTATGTCCAACCTTTTTCACAGTTTTAATTCTATTTTTTTTATTTTTTTTTTTTTAGAGGTTACAAGGAAATTCAATTTTTTTTATTTTTAATTCTTTATACATTCAATTTTATTTTAAAAAAATTATGTATAAAATAATTCTTAATAAACTACAAATCTAGTTTAGTTTTTCATTGGATAAAATTAAAAACATAAATTATTACGTTATCATGTGCAAAAATAATATAAATAATTATTTACATTTACATTGCGATTGTCGTATGGCTATTTTAACAGTGATTCTTCAGTCGTAATCATTTTGGATCAGGCCCAGAAAGAGTTGTATAGATGGGGCCATGGGGGATTATTGGACTATGGAGCGGAGCCTATGAAAGACCACATACCTGTGCGCCCATTTTAATAAATCTACCTATTGCTAGGACTGTCCATTATGACCTACAGAATGTATTTGAATAAGTTTTCTTAAAATATATTTTTTATGATATATTTCTTAATTATTTTTTAGAAGTTATTTTTTAATTAATTTAAAGGATTTTGTATTTGTCCTTTACATAGAATTGTGTTATTTTATTTTTTTGGTAATCTATAATTGTGTTATTTTAAGTGAGAAAAAGAGATACACAAAAGAAATAATGGGAGAAAAAGTGAATATTTTTAATTTAATTTTAAATAAAATTAAAAATACTAGTTTTAACTAAAACAGTCATTCTTTAAAAGGATAAATATTTTTATGTATAAAAAAAGGACAAACATTTTTTCCTAATTTAAAATATTAAACTATTTTTCAATTTTAAATTTATTAAAAAATTATTTAATTTTCTTAAAACTTTTTACTTATATATATATGGCAAGATCTTTTGACACTAGTGTCAAACTAAAAAGCTTGAAACCAAATCTTAGCCATTGATTTCCGCCAATCTGACGATTATACTTTATTAAGTCAAACTTATTTTATTTTATTTTTTGTAAATTTAAGTCAAACTTATTTACTAATTAGTAATTCCCAATAAATCATAACCGTCGATTGGTGAAAATCAACGGCTAAGATTGGATGTCAAAGTTATAAGTTTGACACTAGTGTCAAAGAATCTTATCCCTATATATATACATATATATGAAATAGTTTTTCTCATGTGGTAAGAGATAAACTGTATCTCCTACACTTACATAAAATGTGTGAGGCCCATGTTTTCTTTATTTTTCGTTTCTCTTCACATGGCCCCCACATATTTTTATGTGTGTAGGAGATAAACGACGTAGTTTTGGGTGACAAGACGGTCAAGTAACATGATAAATAATTAATCTTTAATATATATATATGTGTGTGTGTGTATGGGAAATCATGCTCTCTTGCAACAAAAAGCATATTTTTTCTTGCACAGAGATCGTTTTCTGTGCCAGACAAATTTTTTAAAATGTGGGACCCACATTTGATTTGTGTTTGATGAAAGAGACATTTGGTGTCCTACAAATGAGAAAAGAACGAACCATGTATATATAGGGGGTGTATTCTCTTCTGTCACATGAGAAGAGAACTTTTTGCGGTATATACACTCAAATGGGCCAGGCTTGATTTTTAAAAAAAATGAAATGTTGGCACGAAAATCAATCTCTCACTAGTAGGAGAAGATAATTTTCCTACGACAGAACAACTATTTTTCCCATATATATATATAAAAAGAAATGTACTTCTCCTTTCAAACAAGAAGAGATTTATTGTAACAACTAAAAATAACTATGTCTTACCAGTAAGATATAATTGTAATTTTAAAAGCTATTTTTTCTCTCTCCTCAGAAGGTTGTCGGTTGACGTGGCAGAGAGAGAAAAAATAACTTTAATATTACAACTATGTCTTACCGGTAAGACATAATTGTTTTTGTTGCTGCAGAAAATTCTTCTCCTTTGAAATGAGAAGTTGGAAATCCATATATATATATATATATATATATATATATATATATATATATACACACATACATACAGGGGAGTTCTTTTGACTCTATAAGTCTTATTTTTTATCTCAACCGTTGATGGATGAAAATCAATGGTTATCATTTGTAGTATAATTAATTAATTAATTAGTATAATTTTCTAAACTACAACCGTTAGATGGACGAAAATCATTGGTTAAGATAGAGAGTAACATGTTATTCCCCCACCATTATACCAAACTAATCGCCTAATATAAATCTCTTTTTCTTTTGTTTTGAAAACCTTAATATATTTCCCTTTTACCAAACATATATTTTTTTTTTTTGAAAACCCTAATATAAATCAACGGTTGCCTTTTTGAGATTTTTTTTTTATTACTTTTTTTCTTTATAGACAGAAATTAGGTCAAATAAATTTTTATTAAAATTCTTATAATAAAAAAAATATTATTTATAATAAAAAAGAATCAAAAGCCAAAAAAATTTAGGAAATTTTTTTTTGAAAAATTATATCAGCTTATTTTTAATTTGAACTTTTAAATAATTTTTAAGATAATTTTTTTATATAATCATTAAATAGCTTTTAGTTTTATTTTTAAATTTATTTATTTTAGCTTTACCTTTGAAGTAAATTTTAACTTAAAAAAAAGGCACCAAACATACTCTAAAGAGTTATATCTTTTTCATACTATTTTTATTTATTTTTTTGGTGAACTTCATACTATTTTTTTTAAAATTTTATATTGAAATGCTAATTTGAATTTACAAAAAGTTCATGAGATTAGTTAAGAATTAGTTAAAGACAAAAATTTAAGTAGAATATAACTTCATATAAATGCTATTTTGACAAATCTTTTAATGCAATTTACACAAATAAATTAATGATAGAAATGTGTTACAGTACCACATGCATGCGCGGGCCCAAGCATGTCTTATAAAAAATTCCTAGAGGATAAAATTCCTAGAGGATGCTGGAGAGTGGAGACTAGTCATACAAATAAGACATGTCATACATAATTATTATTGAAGATACAAATAAGACATGTCATACATAATTATTATTGAAGATACAAATAAGACATGCCACACATAATTATTATTGAAGATTCATATTCTTCATTGGATTCCTAAAGCGATATCATTCATGTGGTTCAGAATAATTTGTATACTGACATGAACCACTACTTTACTACCAACATTAAAAATTCACGGAAAAAGCTTTTCATCCATCAATTGTGTTATTCTACAATCAACTAGGTTGCCACTGCTCGGTGGTTGATTTAGTGACCTGAGCAAATCGGTTTCCTGACATATGAAATAATAACTTAAAGCAATATAGGTACCTGCCTCACATATAGCAGCGCGACCCATGTTGAAGATTAACTAATTAATCTAGTCATTGTTGTCCATTGAGAATAAAAATTATGCTCTGAAGAAATGGGATTCAATTTGAAGATGTAGTCAGCGTCCAGCAAGGCATATCAAATAAATATATATATATATATATAGTGCTAGTACAATCATATTACACGTGGTGGAATCCACTATTTGGAATATAAAGAAGAATAACATTTTTAACTCCCTCCAACAAATTTTCAAATGAATTTGAATGCGAGAATGCGTACTTATAGTTTAAATTGTCCAATATTAGAATTACTTTATAATGGTAAATTATCAAAGAAGAAAAAAAATCATCGACCAAATATTATAAGCAATCAATATGAAATGTGAATCAAATCTGGTGTTTTCTAGAAGAAATAGAGAAGACCAAGAGATACCCAACTAGGCAATGGCAGATTCAGTATAATCACTATTTCAATTTGGATGTTTCACTGACAGTGCTCAGTGTCGGAAGACAGGACACGATCACGCTCTAAAACTGCCAAATCACAGCAGGCAACAACACACACTTGCATTAGGCTCCGTTTGGTAAGACAAATACGCTGTTCTCGTTCTCCTCTTCATTTGACCATGTCATTTAAGCATCACATAAATGGATGCTTTTGTATTAAAAAATAATAATATAATCATATGAAAAGACCACAGTTATACAAAGATTAATAATTATTTAACACCTTATTTTTTAATTCTTTGTTGGGATCCTATTTCACAGCTTTTTTTTCTTCAAGATAATGCATAATCAGAAATATTTCACTAGTTTAATTTCTTTTATAAATTATTTACTAATTAATATAAATAAAATGTGTATAAAAAAATATACACGTTTAAATCGCACATCATTTCATTAGACAATATACATTCAAGTTGCACAATCCTTGTGCATCACAAATCATATACGGAGATAATTTATGATTTGAACCCGTATTTTTCAAATATTTATCTTTTCATATTAAATTAATAAATAATTTATGAAAAAAATTAAATGAGTAATACAGATTGTATGGGTAAAGAAACCTCATTTCACATTCTCACACCTTACGTCCTTACAATTGGAATACAGGGTGGGGTTATTAGGGGAGACTTTTTATGTCAAGTTCCATCATTTTTCTCATTATTAAAATGACTAGGCATAACATGCATAAATAGCATTCGGATGCCCTACCGTTTCCCCATTGACGTGATTGTTTTGGCGTTTTGTTTGTTTCTTGTTCTCGGTATTGTTCAAAAGAAGCAAAAGGAACATACCATAACACACCGTATGATCGTTATTCTGCTTTTTCAAACTTGGTTTATACATTGATAAAGGGGGGAACATGAACCAACAAAACACCCACCTGTTTCTTTCTTTGCTTTTCTCTTCTTTTTATGGCTGACTCACTGAAAAAGTGAAAAAACACTAGTTTGAATACACATTACTGAGAGACACACACACACAGAGAGAGAGAGAGAGAGAGAGAGGGAGGGAGTGAGGGACAGACTGAGAGTGGGGTCCCCCTAGGGGAACTTTTCTTTCTTGCTCAATAGGTAAACCATCTCTTTTTTGATTTCTCCAACCAAAAATGTATGTTCAATTCAATTCTACTACAATTTTTGACTGTATGTACACTTATTACCCCCATCCCGAGTCAATTTGAATCTTCCCATACCCTATACCCCTAGAATGGTTCACACCCACAACAAAAGCAATAAAAAAATATATATGTATCTCATCACATGCCCTGTGATGCCTTAGATATACAAAAGCTATTGTTGTGACAATCTTTTGCGGAAAAAAATTGGCATACTGTGTCCCAGTTTTATCCCCCCCCATCCATTTCAACCTTATATTTGCAATGGCTAAGAGAAAAATTTAGCCATCAACAAACATTATATTCCAATCTTGTGGATTTAATTTTAACGCTAACATCTCTTTTTATATCACCCATGTTTTGAAGCATTTCATGCTGCATGGGTTGTTGTTGTCACCTAAGCATGGCAGAGTTGGTCCCGGTTCACTTCCAATAGTCTTGTGTCTCCAAGCAATATCATTTGTCCACCACAAAGATTCTCTGTATGAAATCCCTAAACCTTTTGGAGTATAGTTTGGGATCAACGGCTGAGATGGATGAGGGATCCACTTGCAGTGACTTGTATGCATGTTCTAGCTTTTTGCTAATATCGTAGTCTTGGAGAATGTCAATGATACCAAAGTAGAGGATTACATCAGAGATCTCACCACTATTCTCTGAAGGTGTAGAGTTGCTACTTCCACTACCCATCTGCTGATCCAAACCAGCCTTACACACTCTCTCAGCTCTGGCAGGCATGTTCATTCCAAGCCGGATTAGAGGTCCCCTGAAATATTAAGAATTGCAATTATGGATCAAATATTTGCATGATTAGGATCAAAATCAGCTGTCATGAAAAAGTTTACAGGTTACCTTTTTGGTTAGAAGTAATCATTAATTCCCTCTAGTTACTAAATTTTAAGTGTGACCCATGTACTTGGGTTTAAAAGAAAGAAAGAAATAAAACTCCTCCTAGAAACAATGAAAATATTTGTCATATGTTGCTAGCACACAAATATATCTCCGAAGTTTCAAGTCCTAGAAAACATCACTAATCCATTAAAATCCCCGTCAGCTACCATTTGGTTTTCCAAAAGAATGCTCTGCCCTTACCTGAAAGATCAAAATGACCCCACCAGCATATGCTTCAATTGTCAACAAAACTAACTCCAATTTTGCCAACCCAACTCAAGTCACTTTCGGTGCATCACAATTTTCAACCATTGGAATCATATTCTTAAAAAGGGATCAATAAGTCTCCTCTAAATCATAGCTGGATAGGACTAGAGAATGATAAATATAATGCTCATTCACCAGCCAGTTCTTTGTTTGTTCATGACTTGTGGCCGTATCCTCTTGGCATTTTGCATACGAATGGGCCATATGATATTTTGAAACAGAAAGCACTTAGACTCTGTTTGTTTTAGACCCGGGTCCATATACACTAAACCTCAAGGACACCGCACATGCAAAGAAGTGAAAGCAATTGCCACCAATGGGTGCAAACAAGAGAATGACTTTAAAAGACAAAAGTGCTATCCCCGTATAAATCATCTAGTAGCAACATTTAGTAACTGAGAATTGGCGTATAATTAAAAATATCCTGATTCTCCTATTTGACTATATTTGTACAAGAAATGCTGGGTTGGAATTTACATTAACAGTTTAAAAGTCATAAACTAATAGAAGTGCATTAAGATTTCTAAATATCCAAAAATTGCCTTCTATTGGATAATGAATGAAAAATGCAAGAAGATTGAGAACAATCTTATAACTGTTAATTATACACTTGGAACGACAAGGAAGCTCAAATACGAAGAGAAAAGAGCATACCGGCACGTGTGCATCTCATCATTATGCATGTCTCTCTCGCCTGGTAAATCTATAACACAGAAGATTTTATATCCCTCGAGGATTAAACATTTGAAAAGGAAAGATAGAAATAGGAAATAAGACAAATACCTGAATGCAAATCACATGGTGAACGTTTTATTTCATCAAATGAGTAATCATCACGAAAATGAAGGCCGATAAGAAGACTGTAATCCATAATTCCCTCTGCTTCCAGGAACTCACAGTCTCTATCAAGTTGCCTGAGCATAAGCCATTACATAAGACCAACTCCAAGAACAGCACTAAAAATATTGAGAGTAGAAGAATAAGCAAGATCTATACCATTTAAGCTCTTGAAACCAAGAATGTTCCAGGCGGAAGGCAAAATTAAGATCAAGGTCTTTGAGAGTGGTAGTCTCATCAATCTCTTCCCGGGGTTTATCTGTTGTTCGACCATGAGAAGAACCTTTGAGGTCAAACCTCTTATGGATCCGATACTCCGAACAAAATACATTGCCCATTACAATGAACCTGATCTGTTTTTTCCATGGCATCACAAGTTTACATTACATTGTGACAAGCATTTGGATAGTAAATCTCTTAACTGCTGCAAAACTCAAATTTGAAATCATACCTTTTGCCCTCCAACAGGTTTGACACAATGAACGCCCAGGAATGCTGTTACCAAGGAGTTCTTGTACTGACTAACATGTTGGAAGTAACTTTGAAGCATCCTGATAAGCACCTGACATGGCCACCAACTAATTATAATTGAATACCCAGAAAAAAACATGGTGACCAAAGCTGAAAGAGAAATTTCTCCTCACTCAATATAAGGTTTAGAGTTTTCTCTTCAAATTAATGCATTTAAACTTCCAAGTCCAGTAGATGGTAGGAACAACTAACCTTGACTTCAGACTTCTTCACCGTCTTGATTATGAACCGGTCATCGTGAGTGAGGTAAAAGATGCTTCCACTCTTGCCAGGAGAAGACATCTCTCTAAGTGTATCACTTCCACAAATAGCAAGCATGTAATTCGCGGGATCTATGGCAAATAATTCCCTTAGATGTCTAAATACCCAACCAATCAACAAACAAGCAACCACCAAGATACAGGGCACAATTAGTATACTATAAACAATCAATCTTTCTTTACTTTGAAATGAAAAAGGAAAACATCAATCAATGCAAAGAAAATTGACATAGAACTGTTAACACCTGAACACCATGGGACAATAGTCTTTCCACCTGAAGTCCACTGACTGATGCGGAGGTGTAAACTTAGACCCTTCCGGTGGGAATCTTGTCCAGAACTTCTCCTTAGGATCGAAATCACCCGGCCCAAGCTCTCGCACAATCGAAGCATACTTCCCAACAGTGTATCTATAAGAAAAACACCCCATCCCAACAAACAATTCCTCAAAACCAAAGAAATCATAAGCCAGCATGCCTTATTAAGCTACCAAAAAGTCCAAAAGCAATATACCTGATACCCAGTTGAAGACTAATCATGAGATCGTAGTTCTTATGGCCCTTGAACACAGTTTGACCAGGCTTCTTGACCTCACCATCAACAGACAAACAGGGACTCTTATTATGCAACACCCCACAACCACCTTCACCACCATTTTCCGATTCACTACCATCCCTGTAAAACATAGAAGCCTCAACATTGTCAACAATGTCACAGGTAATATCCCCAGCTTCTCCATCCAGTTCCCAAATGCAAATCCTGGGAAAACTCACACTCTTAGAACCATCCACAGAAGATCTCTTCCTTGGCCCCATCATCATAATCTGATATTCCTTCTCCTTCTCCTTCTCCTCCTCATTCCCCCAATTCCCAGCACACTTGCTTCCATCACCCCAAGTGAACATTCCCTTCCCCATTGGCACCCCATTCTCCCAATAACCTTCATAACGGTTCCCATTTGCCCAAACCAAAACCCCTTTCCCTGAAATAGCACCATTCTTCCACTCCCCAACGTACTCATTCCCATTCTTCCACACGTACCTTCCTTCACCGTCCTGCAAGTTGCACCTCCACCATCCCTCATACACGTCCCCATTAGCGTAACACTTCTCCCCGAACCCATGCTTCCGATCAGCGACCCACGACCCTCGGTACGTGTCGCCGTCGACTCCGATGAATGACCCGGACCCGTCCATCCGACCCGACTTGAACTCCCCCTCGTAGGTGGCTCCGGAGGGCCACGAGAACCTCCCTTTTCCACACGCCTTCCCTTTCCTCCACTCTCCTTCGTACATGCACCCATCGGACCACAGGTATTTTCCGGTGCCGTGCGGCGCGTTTCCCGACAGGGTTCCGGTGTAGATGTCGCCGTTCGGGAGTGCTTTCTCGGCGGCGGAGGAGGTGAGGTCGCCGGCGCCGGAGGAGGGAGGAGAGACGGCGGGACTGACTCGCCGCGTTCTGGTCCTTCCGCCGGCCGCCAGACACGGAGACGGGACCACGAGGTGGTCGGTACCTAGCTTAGATTGTTGTTGGGATTTTTTCTTCTTTGCTGCGTTGGGGTTAATGTGAATGTCTTGGTGTGAGAGAGTGAGGAGCGTCTCCTGCATGGTATGTATGGTAATGGTTTCAGCAATTGTCACCGCCGACGGAGAGTTGCCGGAGAATGAAGCGACGGCGGCAGCATCTCCGGCGGAAATGGTTAGTCAAAGTTGCTTTTGTAGAATAGAATGCGTGAGAATTAAACAGAAACAATATAGAGAAAAAGAAAGTGAGAGGAACAGTGGTTATAACAGTTTCAGACAAGACACAAGGAGAGAGAGAGAGAGAGAGAGAATGGAGGTTATTGACAAATATTAAAACAGAGCAAAGGTTGCTGGTCGCTTCCACATTGTGGTGCCGCTTTTGCTATACTATATTATATTATATGAATTAGTGATTATATTATTTGATCACAGTTATATATAAATAATATATATATAATTCTTTTTCTTTTTCTTTTTGTAGATTAAAGGGCAAAGCTCCAGCAGAAAAAAATTACAAAAAAATTAAAGGAGATAAACTAAATCAACAACAAATAAATTCCTAATCCCGTATTACAAAAAAAAAAAAAAAAAAAAATTCCTAATCCCAAGAGGAGGAAAGTGATAGAACCGGAAGCCAGCATATTGAGGGGGCATTTGGTACGTGGGATTTTGAGAGATTCCTGGAAAATTGAATTTTTTTAAATTTTAAATTTTCAGTTATTATCGTAAACTGAATGCAAAAATCATATTTTTGAAAATCGAGATTTCCGGACAAATAAAAATTTCTACTGTACCAAACGTCCCCTAAGAAATAGTTGGAGAGCCAATCTGCGCATATATTATCCTTCTTCCCCATAGACATGTAATAAATGAATCTGCCAATCTTTTTTCATCCATGCCCGTATATGCGAGTCAACAAATGAGACTCGCGGGCTGCATCACCAGATTTAGTGACCACCATGATTGTATGTAACGCAATTATTTTCCTATATTCTCTATCCCAAACTTGCTCCAAACTTTTAAGAATTTCGCAAAGCTCTGCAGTAATAGCTGAGCAGACACCAATACCAAAAGAAAACCCAACACACCAATTACGAGAGGCATCTTTAAATACTCATCCACAAGTTGTCAAACCACGATTACCTCTTGAAGTCCCAGAATTTATTTTTATCCATCCTTCATCAGGAGCCTTCCAAGTAATGTGTATTCGCTCAGTAATCCTATCCATTGTGCTAGTTTTTCCTAGTTGAAAGGCTTCGCGCACATCTTAAGTGATGATGAATTTGTTGAATATTGTATGTAAGATATATATAATTCTTAAATGAGTAGGTATGATGAAATAATATCATATAATCATTTAAAATATTGTCAGTGCTAAGCAATCCATACATCATTTACTAAATGTAAAAAAAAATTATATTATATTTATTTTTATAATTTTTTATGTCTCTTTTTTCCTTTTTTTTTATAAGGAAGTTCCTTCTTTTGGAAAACTTTTACAATATATTGGCTGACATGTGTATTAAGAAAAAAAATATTAATCTAATATTATAATTATGTACTCACAATTTTTTTAAATTATATAATTGTATTATATTAGTGTTTGAAAAATATTATCAATGCTAAGTATTCCATGCATCATTTACTAAATACAAAAAAAAAAAACATATTTATACTATTTTTTATTCATTATAAAAATTATTTTTATAATATATTTTTATAAAAAATTATATTTGGTTAAACTTTTAACTTTAAAAGTAAGAATAACTAAAAACAAAAACATACAAACAAACACTTATTTTCTCCACCCAACATTGCTAGCATGCTTCCTTTTTAAGGTTCGTGACATGTACCAAATCCACGTGAATTTCTGTTACTAGCGATATTTTCTCCTATGCCTACCTATAACTTCGTAACAATGTGAGAGGATGTAAGAGTTTTAAATATACCATTCAAGTGAGTGTTATTCTTTCGCGGGATAAAATCTTTTGACATCAATGTCAAATTTAAAATTTGACACTTCATCTGAGAGTCATTGGATTAAAAAAAGATCAATGACTCCTATTTATAAACATGTGATATCATTAATCTTTTTTATCTAATAGCTCTCCTACCTCGTTTCAGAAGTCAATATTGTTAATGTACACAAAGTTTATTATAATTAATTATAATGAAATAGAGGAAAGAGATAGTGGGCATCACGTATAATGCCACCCAGTACCGTGTTACGTTTGTAATGGCGTGATGGAATGATACTGAAATCAAATTCCAATTTTGAACCCGAAAAAGGGCATATGTACATCGGTGTTAGCAAAAGCCAACGAGTCGTCTTCTCAAAAGCGAAAGAAATGGCAAAAACTCTGTGTTGTCATAATTGATAAGCCGATGATGCCTCATTGCAACCTTTATCGCATACTCTTAACTTTACCCCGAAATTATTCCTATCAGCCTGTGAATTTTAAGTATCCAAGAATCCGAGACATACGTTGTTTGTGGATTGAAGCATAACAGATTGTGGTCATGTGGCGAATGAAATCTCATGGAAAAATAAACAAATTATTTCAAGAGTTTTAAGTTTAATTTACTCATGTGGGACTTAACTAATTTGTGGCGACAAATTTTAATTATTTAAAAAATTGCAATACCAGCATGGAATTCTGGGACACACGAGGAAAATCGTGGGTGACATTGGTTCAGTGGGTCGCATTCACGTAAGGCATTGAAAAAAAAAAAAAAATATATATATATATATATATATATATATATATATATATATAGAGGCAGGATCCTTTGACACCGGTGTCAAAGGAAAAGTTTGACACCTCATCTGAGAGCTGTTAGATTAAAAAAAATCAATGGTGTCACATGCTTACAAATCAGAATCGTTGATTTTTTTAATCTAACGGTTCTCAGATGAGGTGTCAAACTTTTTCTTTGACACCGGTGTCAAAGGATCCTGTCTCATATATATATATATATATATATATACATGGGATAAACATTTCTACAACAACTTTAGATAAATTTATCTACAGCTGCTATTTTAACTATATTCTCTCGGGAGAATATAGTTATAACGTTAAAGTTGCTCTTTTCTCCCTTTCCATGTCAGCAAAAAAGTTCTAAAAAGTAAATGAGGAGAGAGAAAAAAGAACAACTTTAACGTTATAACTATATTCTCTCGGGAGAATATAATTAAAAATGGCAGTGGTAGATAAGCTTATCTAAAATTGCTGTAGAAATACTTTTGCCTATATATATATGGGTTTAGTAAGTATCAAGTGACTTGATGTAAATTAGGTCCACTGCACTATATTCTCCCGCGAGAATATAGTGCACAAAAAATTTTGATTATGTTCTTCCGGGAGAACACCTGCAGAACACCATTGTAATATTTTTGCACTATCTTCTCGCGAGAGAATATAGCGAAAATTCACTCACTGGACAGTCCAGTGACTGAATTTTGGATTTTTCGTATATATATAAAATGTTTGTTATTTTAAATGGTATAAAGTTATGCCATTTGAAGAGAGAGACAGACACAAATTTTTTTTATTTAAATTTTAAATTAAAAAAACCATTAATTTTCTCTCTCTCATGATTTTCACTTTTCTGTGTCTATCTCTATCCTAAAATGAGATAATTTATGTCATTTAAAATGACACACACTTATTTATATATATATATATATATATATATATATATATATATATATATTGGAGACTGTTAGGCATTGAAATATTGATCACTTTGATATGTAGACAATAGTCGGTCTTTGAAATATTATTTATTTTTATGGAGACTGTAAGGCATTGAAATATTGATCACTTTGATATGTAAACAATAGTCGGTCTAAAAATATGATAATTCAATAAACGAGCTAAATAAATAAAAAGAAAATGATCTTTGTTTGATCTTATTCCGAATTAGTCTCATAATTAGCTCAAAAAATCAAAATTTATGAGTATATCAAAAAAAGTCAACTCTCCTGAAAAAGATAATTAAGATTGAGTTAACTAAAAAAAATGAGGGGATAATCGGTCCAAAAATAAATTTAAAAAAAAAAAAAAAGACATATCATATCATAGGTCCATATTTTTTTGGGTCAATGATTTCTGGGCCACACTGTGGCCTCAAAAGAAAAGAATCCAAATCATCAACCAACCAAATTTCACAAGTACATCATTCTTATTTATAACAAAAAAATAACAGCAATGATTTCTGTATTTTTTTTATTTTTTGGGAGTTCTGTTGTTTCTAGTTAGCTGTCACCGCCTGGGTAATAGTAGGTTTTGAGAACTTGAAATATTGGTAATACTGGGGCCATTTGGTGGCATAGGCCTATCACCGAGCAGCTTCGAAGTTCAAACTATTCTCCGGTTAGTGTGGAACGAAGCTGGAATACCATTCCACAAATACTTTTTTTACTTTTTGCCAGTAACACGCTTATTGCTTAATATATGTCATCATGTTGCTTAGTACATTCACCTTTGTCCAATCTGCATAATTATGAAGTTTATAAAATACAATGTCAATTCAAACTGTTTCTTCTTGTGGCACATTAAATTTTTTATTATTTTGGTCTCATTATTGTTATTGGATTAATGTTAGGTATTTTTGTTACATAACTTTGAAACTATTTATAAGTAAATAAATTGGAGAAGGTTATATTTACAAATTTTTTATTTATAAACTATACTAAGTATGACCAGTCATACTTCAATTAAGAGTGTATGACCGGTCATATTTAGTGTAATTTATAAAAAAAGTTTTTAAACGGATCCTTCTCTAAATAATTTTACTTTAAAACTGGTTATATTTAATTAGGGGAAAAGAATTCTCATGTTACATGAGAATTCTTTCTCCTACTAGAGAGATATCGAAGTGTGTGCAACAACTTTTTTTATTTTTGTTTTTTAATGAGAGATGGGACCTATCACTTATTGTGTCTATAGTAGGAGAATTCTTTCTCCTACAAGAAAAGAGGGACCTATTTAATTATCAGCAGAATAAGATGAATATGTTAGATTATATTGCATCCTGATGCGTACATTCACACAAAGTCTTAGAAATTAGGTAGTTTTTGTTTAATACTATGTTCATGATGATGTCGACATAATCAAGTTTTTCTCAACTAGACTAAAAAAAAACTCGAGCGTCACGAGCACAGCCACTCAGTTGTTTTTAGTCACTAACCCATATTTCCACCGAATAAAACTCGAATGCAAACAAGATTCCAGTCAATGGAGTTTACCCTAGCTAGCGCAGTTTCCTCTTCCTCTCTTTTTAATGCAGCATTCATTTTTTAAAGAAAAATCATGTTTTCCTCCTTAATTATGTTGATTACATGTTTATTTTTAGGATTTAATATCTCTTAAGAAGAAAATAAAATTATCTCCTGTACAAATAAAAGTGTGTTCGACTCATTTTTTTTTTTTTTTTTCTCTCTTCTCTTCACATGGTCCCACATACTTTTATACGTATGTAATCAATAATTTTATCTCTTACAACATAAGAAATATCAAACCCTTATTTTTATCACTATGTTCTAATTTGATTGCTCTACTTACACATTACTTTACATGTCATAATTTTATTATTTAATCATATAATTGATCTTATTTAAATTTCTATATACCTATAATTATAACTCTACCATCTAAGTAACATAATTGATCTTATTTTATTCCAGAGATACTAAATATTTTTGGTCATCTTCTAATATACCATAAAAGAATATACTATTAAACCGCGAGTGTCACATTAATATTTTTTACATCTATGACAATGACTTCACATCATATATAGAATAACAAAGCAATTTGTATCTATGTTCACCACAAGTACAAATAAATTTTTGGTGTTATTGTGGCACCAAGATTCAGTGCATTTCACTAATGAAAATATTACACATCATAGGAGAGAGAAAATTTGACAGAGAAAAGAAAACTTTAGCTGACATGTAATATTTTTATTGGTGGGATGTACTGAATCTTTGGTACAACGACAGCACCAAAAATTTATTCCATAAGTACAACGCATTGTCAGAATAAGCATAAATAATAAGGACGTTTGGATGTGCTTGTAAAAAAAAAAGTTTTTATGTTTTGTTTATTTAAAAATTATTTTTTTATAAAATTTAAAGTTATTTAAATTTTTTAAAAAAATATTTTTTTTGAGGAAAAAAATTTGATTTTTGACTTTTTTTTTTTTTAAGCTAAATTTTTAGCTTTAAAAAAAATAAATTTTTGACTTTTTTTTTAAATTTTATTTTTTACATCCAAATAGACTTCGTAGTAAAAGTGCTTTTTTATGAGAAAAAAATTAACTTTTGGCTAAAAAAAACCCATCAAAATCCATCCAAATAACTTTTTGTCACACTCACGAGTTAATAAGTGTTGTTATAATGAGAAGAGAAGAGAGATAAAAAGTTAATAAAACTAATTTACTTCTATATCAAGGTTGTGGATAAAAAATTTTGGCAGAAAATAATTTTCCCAAATAATAAAGTATGATAAATTGAGAATACTAACTCTAAAGTAGGGCTAACTCCAAAACAGATAAATTTTAATGATTGTAAGAATATGCATAAAAAAAATGTGCATATATAATGAACTCTTCTTTTCCCTAGAACTATAATGTATGAACAGCTCCATCTTGGTAAAATACTATGACATTCATACTACTAGTACTAATGTTCCTTCAAGTTCAACTCCATTTCAAAACCCAATCCTGATTAGAGCTTTTGACTGAGAAAAAAGTGTTGAGAATTTAGTTTGTCGGGTCAAAATCAGTATCAGTCTCAGTAGGGAGTTGGCCAAAAATGTCAGAGCAAGATTCCCAGTTCCCTTTTTCCCTAGCCTCCCAGTATCCGCCTACATAACAATAAGTATGGCTGTCTTTGTCCATAGCAAACCACCTTGGCTTCCAACCTTTCTCTTGTATCTTCCTTGCCTGGCAATTATAGTGACGAGTTCGTTAATGTACAAGAACAAACCAGCAAAATGCATTTCATTAATTACATAATCTAATAAATTTGAATCATTCATTAAGATGCACCACTTGTACCTGCCGCTGTCTTTGTTCCAAATGCAACTTCTCAGCATTGGCCTTTTCATACTCTCCATTCTCCAAACACCTTTGATCAGGTCTCAGCCTTGAATCTGTTGGTGGCAACTTCTCCTGTTTGTAAATGCAAACATAGAAATTCGCAAAAGCAGAGAAAGAGAAAGAAAAACACTTCAGAAAATAAAATAAAATTCATCCTGTTACCCTGAGTATAGGTGTGATTTCATTTAGTGTAATAGCAAACTGTGTAAGGTTATATCTTGTGGGGTAATCGGATGGCTCGCTTCGCTTCCACAGCTGACGTGCTTTTGATGACACATTGGACCGTTTTCCTTTCCCAGAATTCTCAATAATTGTATAATGCAAGCTCTCATCCCAATTTCCACATAGACTTGCTACTACTTTACCTTTCGTATCTTCCACTACCCCGTGCACCTGCAGCAGAACTTAAATGACAGGATAAGTTACATAACATGTCTTGGGACCATGAAGTTTCAACGAAATTACACAACAAAATGAAAATTAGAAGCTTCAAATTCAAGATGAAAATCTAGTCTAAAAGCAACAAGTGCCATTGTGTACTTAGACAGTATATGCAAAAAATCCAACACATTTGACCCATTATGATCCTCTAGGAACATAAAGATACGGAAGAAAAGGAGATATAGAAGAGCACCTGGTGAGGATTTTTATCAATGATTGACTGCTCCTTGAATTTAATCTTGCATGAATACTCACGATTCCCCTCTATTCTCATTGTACCATAATGATCACAGTAGATTTTTCCTAAAATGAGGTTGTAAATTGCCGTTGATACCTGATGGTAGAATATTAAGTTTGATAACTAATAAGCAAGCAATATTTTGGAAGACATTGATAATTCATACTGATATCAAAGAAAATCATACCTTACTCCACCGAAAGACTTCTCCATCATCAAACTCCAAAGTTAATACACCAACGGGATCAATATGAATTGAACGACCCCAGAATTTGCTTTTTAAATTGCTGTCACCCCAAAATTTCCATCCCTTGCCCTCACAATGGCATGCTAAAATCATTGGATGATGACTGACCTATCTCAAGATGAACAGCGTAAGGATTTTATTTCCACATCCACAAATTTTTACAAAAAGAAAATGCAAGCTTAGTTGTTGAGATATATAGTCCCACATTAGTTGTATGTGCAACTTATGTGGAGTTTATAAGGCATTGGGCACTCCCACTCTTTGAGCTAGCTTTTGGGGTGGTGTATCCCAAGGTTCTTTACATGGTTTCAGAGCCTCGCCGCCCCCCACTTTCTCTTGTGGCATTTCTTAGCACAGGTAGGCTGGGCCTGTTGCATTGTTCACTCTTCAAGCCCAATGGGCTCTTGTATGAGAGGGCGTGTTGAGATATATAATCACACATTGGTTGTATGTGCAACTAATGTGGAGTTTATAAGGCATTGGGCACTCCCACTCTTTGAGCTAGCTTTTGGGGTGGTGTATCCCAAGGTTCTTTACATGGTTTCAGAGCCTCGCCGCCCCCCACTTTCTCTTGTGGCGTTTCTTAGCACAGGTAGGTAGGCTGGGCCTGTTGCATTGTTCACTCTTCAAGCCCAATGGACTCTCGTGTGGGGGGGCGTGTTGAGATATATAGTCCCACATTTGTTGTATGTGCAACTAATGTGGAGTTTATAAGGCATTGGACACTCCCACTCTTTGAGCTAGCTTTTGGGGTGGTGTATCCCAAGGTTCTTTACATGGTTTCAGAGCCTCGCCGCCCCCCACTTTCTCTTGTGGCGTTTCTTAGCACAGGTAGGCTGGGCCTGTTGCATTGTTCACTCTTCAAGCCCGGTGGGCTCTCGTGTGAGGGGGCGTGTTGAGATATATAGTCCCACATTGGTTGTATGTGCAACTAATGTGGAGTTTATAAGGTATTGGGCACTCCCACTCTTTGAGCTAGCTTTTAGGGTTGTGTATCCCAAGGTTCTTTACACCACCCCAAAAGTTAGCTCAAAGAGTGGGAGTGCCCAATGCCTTATAAACTCCACATTAGTTGCACATACAACCAATGTGGGACTATATATCTCAACACTAGTATAATCTTATTACCATCAAAATGATTGGAATCACACAAGTGTAAATCACAAAAACAGAGATTTTTTTTTATAGAAAAGAAATAGACATAATTGGAATTTTAGTGACTTGCTCTAGTTGTATACAACTGACAATTGATAGGTTTTTTCTTCTTCTTTTTTTCCCTCTCTTTTCTGAGTTTATGTCATCTGCATAAATGAATTTATGTGGCATTTGACATTATTAGAATATTACATTTTTGTATTTTTTATTTTTTCTTCTTTTAGTGGCCACGTCACCCAAGTGATTGTAACAAAATTTGTTATTCTTCACCTTTATATTCTGATACACACTGTACAGAAACGACTCAATATAATGAATATACAGTTACAATTCTCTGCTTCTCTTTTTACTGCAAATGCAGATTTGCACTGCTAATATGGTATCTGATAGCAATTTTTGATGGCTCGTGGCCATCATCGTCCTCCTACTCCTTCCCTTGAGCTTTCCTCTGGTTCATCTTCTTTCATGGAAGATGCTTCTAACCCTTATTTCCTCCAGAGCCGTGATCATCCTGGATTAATTTTGGTAACTCACTCACTCGATGGTGCCAATTATAGTTCATGGAGTAGAGCCATGCTCCTTGCTCTCACTGCTAAGAACAAATCGGTCTTCATTGATAGGTCTATTCCTCGCCCTCCTGATGCTGATTTGCTCTTTCCAGCTTGGAATTGGTGTAATTCGACGGTAATTTCTTGGCTTCTGAATTCTGTATCTAGGGTCATTGCTGATAGCTTGGTCTACTTCTCCAATGCTTTTGAGGTATGGACTGACTTACGCACTCGCTTTCAACAAGCAAATGGCCCTTGAATTTTTCAATTGAAGCAAGAAATCTCCTCCCTAACACAAGGATCCCTCGATGTGAATGCTTATTACACCAAGTTGAAGACCCTCTGTGAAGAACTTCAGAGTCACATTCCCCTTCCATCATGCACTTGCGGTGGTTTGCGTCGTCTCTCAACATCTCAGCAGCAACATGACGCTCTCTAATTTCTTATGGGTCTAAACAACTTATTTTCTTTAGTGCGCGCCCAGATCTTACTAATGGATCCTCTACCTTCTCTTGCTAGAGTATTCTCCCTGGTTCTTCAAGAAGAACGGACAACGCCAGATTTCTATCTCAGTTCCTGCTACCCCTGGTACCCGGCCTCTTAATTCAGTATCCACTAACCCTAGCTCCTATTTCCCCTCTGATTCCACCTCTCCGGTGGTTGCAGCCACCAATACTCCTCGTCGCCCCCGCCTTTTTTGCACCTATTGCCATGCTCAGGGCCATGTGAAGGACAAATGTTTCCGCCTTCATGGTTTTCCCCCAGGGTATAAGCCCAGAATTTTCAAACCTAACTTTCACTCAAACCCGGCCCAAAGTCCCTCGGCCCATTCCAACTCCACAATCTCTCACCAGCCTTTCCCCAATTCCCCCAACCCAATTATCCCTTACCCTAATTTCTCTCTTCCACCCTCCGCTGCCATCAACCAAGCACAATATGCGCACCTTCTTTCTCTCCTCCACAAGGGTTCTGCTGCACCGGTCACGTCGTCCTCTGTCTCCGTCAACGATGGTTCTCCCTCTGTCGCCAGCTTCAACGATACTGTTCCGTCCTCTTTCTCTGACTCTTGTTGGAACCTAGACACTGGTGCTACTCACCATGTGTGTTATTCTTCTCGTTTATTTCTCTCTTCCCGTCCTTCTCCACCTTCCACGGCTTTCGTCGTGTCTTTTCCCAATGGCTCGACTGTTCCCGTGGTTGGTTCTGTCTCCATCTCTCTGTCTCCTTCTTTAAATCTTCAAAATGTTTTGTTCGTTCCCTCTTTCACCTTTAATCTTTTGTCCATAAGTGCTCTCACTCGCGATTCCTCTCTCGTTGCTAATTTTACTTCTTCTCATTGCATCTTACAAGAACCTACAACGACGATTGGGATTGCTAAGCGCTGTGGCAATCTTTATGTCCTTGATGTTTGTTCTCTTTTCCCCCAGATTTTTGTTCCCCCATCCCTCTGTTTTGCTGTAAATAGGCCTAGTCCTACACTTTGGCATGCTCGACTAGGTCATCTCTCTTTTTCTATCTTGAATTCCATGAAGGATGTTTTACATAATACTGAGCATATAGCATCCACACATCATTGTAATGTTTGCCCTCTTGCAAAACAGAAACGTTTACCGTTTATTTTGAATCCCAAATTGTCTTCTGTTCCTTTCACTCTTATACACTGTGACATTTGGGGACCTTTTCAGCCCCTATCTGTCGAAGGTTCCAAGTATTTTCCAAGTATTTTCTTACAATTGTTGATGATGCTACCCGTTTTACATGGACTTATTTTTTGAAATGCAAATCTGTTTTTCGTTTTGTTTTTCTTAATTTCATTCATCTTATACAAAATCAATATAATACATCCATCAAAGCCATTCGTTGTGACAATGCTCGAGTTTATGATATCTGACATTTTTCATTCTAAAGGAATTCAAGTTTATCACTCTTGTGTTGACCGTCCGCAGCAGAACTCAGTGGTGGAGCGATAGCATCAACATATCCTGAATGTTGCTCGCGCCCTACACTTTCAATCCCATATCCCTCTTGCATATTGGCAGGATTGTGTCTGCACAGCTATATATCTCATCAATAGGACCCCTTCCCCTCTACTTTCTCACAAAACCCCTTTTGAACTTCTCTCCCATAAGCCCCCTGTTTATGATCACTTGCGAATTTTTGGCTGCCTCTGTTATGGATCTACTCTTCTCAAATCACGTCATAAATTTTTCCCTAGGGCTTTCCCTTCTGTTTTTCTTGGTTATCCCCCTGGTTTTAAAGGTTACAAATTACTTGATTTAACCTCCAAACGAACCTTTATTTCTAGGGATGTCACTTTTGTTGAATCTATTTTTCCTTTTGCCTCACATACACTTCCCATTTCTCCTTTTCCTGTTTCCCCACCCACTGTTCTTCTCCAACCGAACCTTCTTCAACCACTTTGCCTACTCACCGTCCCATTAGAGCTAGACAGCCCCTTTCCCATTTGGCTGATTATATTTGCTCCTCTTCCACGGCTCACCCTCTTTCCAATTTTCTTTCTTACACCAAGCTTTCACCTTCACACACTGCCTTCATCAACTCTTTGTCTAATCATTTTGAGCCAACATATTTTTCTGAAGCATCTCAACTCCCTGAGTGGCAGGGAGCTATGGATGCTGAAATTCTAGCTTTGCAACAAAATCATACTTGGTCCATTGCTCCTCTTCCCCCTAACAATAATAGTGTTGGCTGCAAATGGGTCTATAGAGTTAAATATAACTCCGATGGTTCTGTTGAAAGATATAAGGCACGGTTGGTGGCCAAGTGGTTCACTCAACAACAAGGAGTGGATTTTTCTGACACATTTTCACCTGTAGCCAAGTTAACTTCAGTACGTATAATTCTTGCACTTGTTGCTCTTCATAATTGGCATCTAATTCAATTAGATGTCAATAATGCCTTTTTACATGGGGACTTAATGGAAGAGGTTTACATGCAATTGCCCCTGGGTTATCATGGACAGGGGGAGTCTATTCCCAATGTTGTGTGTCGATTGCACAAGTCTCTATATGGGCTTAAACAAGCCTCTAGACAATGGTTTGCAAAATTCTCCTCAGCTTTATCTGTTCTTGGATTTACACAATCTAAGACTGATCATTCTCTGTTTATAAAACATTCTGACTCATTTTTTGTGTCTATTCTTGTATATGTGGATGATATCCTTGTTGCCTCTAATAGTTTATCTGAAGTACAACTTCTGACTATTCTTCTGGACAGCAAATTCAAGCTTAAAAACCTTGGACCTGTCAAGTATTTTTTGGGACTCGAAGTAGCTTGATCCTCGAAAGGCATCTCCATTTGTCAGCACCACTATGCATTAAATATTTTGCAGGATGCTGGGCTCTCTGGTTGTAAGCCAAAGTCAACCCCAATGGAAGTTAACTTGAAACTGTCATCACACGATGGAGAACCCTTACCTGATCCTACTCCATATAGAAGACTTATCGGAAGACTTCTATACTTGACCATCAGGCGGCCAGATCTTTCCTTTGCAGTAAATCATCTTAGCCAATACATGGTTGATCCTCGGGTTCCTCACCTTCAAGCAGCTCCCAGAATACTTGCCTACGTCAAAGCCACTGTTGGTCAAGGACTATTTTTTCCTTCCACCTCTTCTTCACATCTGAAAGTTTTTGTGATTCAGATTGGGCTTCTTGTTTAGATAGTCATCGTTCTGTATATGGTTTTTTTGTTTTTCTTGGTGCTTCCCTCATTTCATGGAAATCAAAGAAGCAGCACATTATTTCTCAAAGCTCAGCAGAGGCTGAATATCATTCAATGGCGTATGCAGCCTGCGAAATCCTCTGGCTTCTACAGTTACTCAAGGATCTTGATCTTCCTCATCCTTCTGCTGCACATCTGTTTTGTGACAACAAATCTGCTCTTCATATTGCAGATAATCCAGTTTTTTATGAGCGTACGAAACACATTGAGATTGACTGTCATCTCATACGCGATTGCATTGTTTGTGGCCAATTGAAAACTTTCCACGTAGCCTCTTCTCATCAGCTTGCTGATATGCTGATATGCTGACCAAAGCTCTTCATCCAAGTCTTTTTTCTGCTCTTCTCTCCAAGATGGTAGTTATTAATATACACTCTCCATCTTGAGGGGGAGTATTAGAATATTATATTTTTGTATTTTTTATTTTTTCTTCTTTTAATAGAATGAATATACAGTTACAATTCTCTGCTTCTCTTTTTACTGCAAATGCAGATTTGCACTACTAATAGACATCAACAGAATGATAGATATAGATAAAATGCAATGCTCACATCAAAATTGTTTTCTTGCAGACACAATCAATACCTTCTCGGATATAAAGCGAATGCCTTTGTCTGGATAATCTGCCTCGTATGTCTCACCCAACAATGGATTGAATGGTTTACAACTCCTCTTATCAGTGCAAGCATAACCTGAAACTGCAAATGCAGCCACATGTAGCATCCTCATAAGACTGTTACCCTGTGCAAAAAAGTACCATGTTTGTAAGAAGCAATTCCTGATATATAATTGAGCAACCGGCCACAACAATTGCCTAGTGAGTTATGCATAAATTAGCAATTATATTTTGCACAAAAAGAAGAAGAAGAAAAACTAACCATTTTACCACATGCATATGCTTGGTCAAGAAGGTAAGAATACTCCAAATCTTCAAAACATTTCTGCAATGAGGAGATGGGCTCATTGAAATAAACAGGAAGACAAATATTTGTAAGATCCTTTCCGATGTTATCTTTTATTATTGACCAGAGGCTGACTCCTTTTTCTTTCTCAACAGGATCAGGCAACTTCTTTCGTCGTCTGACATGAGGATAATTAGATCCATTGAACGACTTTCCTTCATATTCACCATTAGTACTACTCTCCCCACATTCAAAATCAATGCAGGATCTCTGGTACTGATGAGATCCATTGCTTCTGCCAGAACATGTTGAAAGAATATCACATGTATCAAAGAATGCATCGTGGTTGTTTTCATGAGTAGAATCACTAGCACTTCCTTCTGTAATTTATCAAAACATTTTAAAAAATTAAAATTAAAATGTGTTTAAAAAATGGATTCTAATTAAAAGGTTTAACTTTCCACATACCACTATCATTCTCAAGCATTGATATAAAGGACTCCCCATCATCCTTTAAATAATGTTGCCTTTGGCTTTCAACCTGATCAACCCTCTCTGTCTAGAAAACAGAGTTGCATGAATTGAATACAATTAGCTAGCACATTGATGGTTATCATATATCAATTATCAATTATCATATTGTAATTAATTAATAAAGTGCGTGCATTTATGTACCGTGTCAATTAGGTTTAGATTGAAGTGGTTGTGGCTGAGAACGTGAGATATCTCGCTTCTCATGATGTTCTCACTTTCCTGAATAGTAGCTTCGCTCACACCCTCTTCTAACAAACGCTGCCTCAACCTGTGTGTGGAAATCACCATTGACTCTGCTTCTGAGATTGACTCTGCAATGGAGTTGGACGTACGAGGAAACACGTCCTTGACGGAGAGCATGGCCTCCACCCACGTGTCCCTATCCTCCTTGGTCTCCGCCCTCAAATGGAGCCTCTTCTTCATTCCGGTATACACACAGAACCTCTTTTCATTTGACTTGTGCTCTCGTACGGAACACACCTATATATATAACACCAAACGAAACGAAACGAAACAATAATGATCACGTGCATGAAGTTTAATTAGTACTGTATGATAATACAATAATGCTTAGGTAGAAGAAGAAGAAAAAATGGAGAAGAATTAATGAAAAGGTGAAATTAACCATGAGGTGGACTTGACCGAGGGGTTTGCGGTGGGTGAGAGTAGAATCGCTATGTGTGGCGGCGTCGATGCGGCGGAAGCCGATGACCTTGGAGGCGGAGTGGACGATTTCGCGGTTGTAATAAGAGAGAACGCCGTCGTGGAGGATGAACCAACGAGGGCGCCACCCTCGGGCGTAATTGACCCATTTATAGAGAAGGCCACATATTTCGTTTCCTACGGTTGTAGTGTCGTTTAGCTGATTGATGAAGCTGGGGAGGGACCTGAACGACGACGTCGTTGTCGTTGGGGGATGATGCATGTGATGCAAGTCGGTGTTGGAGCGTAAGGGATGCATCATGCATAGCATAGCATAGCATAGAAGATAGCATAGAATGGAATGGAAAAGCATGGGGAATGAGAATTAGAGGGATGATGATATAAATAGTGACGACGCAGGTTGTACTGGAGGAGCGTTATTGACGTTGTTAAATCTTTGCGGTGATGGCTCCCAGTTAAATTCGCCTTACTCTTTTTTTTTTTTATACTTTCCTTTTATTATTACATATATGATTTCAGGATGTAGATCATATAATATCTCTTTTGTTTTTTTTGGAAATCATATGATATCTCTGTGTAACTCTCTCTCTCTCTTCCTTCTTAGTGTTTAAATATCCTTGTGTGAATTGTCGGCACCTATGTTGCACCGATATCGATACAGGACATGGAATACGACACGACACTTTGATACGTTAATTTTAAAAAATGTTAAATTTTGACATATTAGGACACGTTTAGATATTATATAATATTTTTAATTTATGTAGTGTATATTATATTTAGTATTCAATAGTTTAACAGAAAAATAAAACTAAACTTATAATACTCATCAATTTTGCAAAGAAACATAAGATATCCCAAATGTTTATATTAAACTCAATAAAATCGTAATCGTAATCTAACGAATCTAATAGTTGGAACTCAAAATGCAATGTAACATAAAATTTGAACCTTTTTTGAGTCTTTGCAACGAGTATTGGAGTGTCGGGAAGTGTCAGAGTATCGGTGAGTGTCGGACACAATACGTCAGGATTTTTGAAGTGTCGGTGCTTCATAGACTGGCACAACTGCTGGTATGCTATTATTTTTAAATTATCTGTTAAAATATTGAGTTAGCTTTTATGCAATTAGATAAGTTATATACATTGAGTTAAAATTAAGGTATTTTTGTAATTATAATTTATTTCAGGATTATAATAGTCTTTCTCATTATAATTTTTAAATTTGTTAACCTAAAACAATATCATTTTGAAAATGAATGTAAATAACTTACTTACATACACTGTAGAAACATTAAAGACTAAAATATTACTATGTGTAAATAAATTGTTGTACATATTTCATATTTGCGATCAGCTTGGCATCACCAATAGAAACGATTTTGTCACGTGATAAAATATTTGCTGTGGATCCTGAATTTTATTTCTTCAACTCTTATTCTCTCATTCTATATAAATTACATTCAATTTAAAATTAATGTTAAATTAATTAATTAAAGCAAATAATTATTATTTGGAAAAAACATCTATCCTTTTAAAGGATATAAGTTTAAATCCTTTTAGATCCTAATCGCTGATTTTCGTCCATCAACGGTTATAATCTATTGGGCCAAACTTAATGTGCCAAAATTATTATTAATTAATTAAGAATTTTAATCCAATAAATTATAATCGTTGATTGACGGAAATCAACGATTAAGATCTAAACGGATATAAATTTATATCCTTTAAAAGGATAGATGTTATTCCCATAATAATAATATTTGTATTTCAATTTCAACCTCGTAGAAGTTTAATATTGTGGTCATATACAAATACACGTGTTTATACCCGTTTTAGCACACCTTGTAATTCAAAATTCATCCAATATTTTTTACGGATATTCTTACTATTAAAAAAATTTGTAATTTTTATTATTAAATTAATTACCCTTAATTTTTATTAATTTAATGATTATAATTTATTAAAAATTAATAATTAATTAATAAGTATATCCAATAAATTATAATCATTAGATTGACAGAAATCAACAATGATTAATTTAGTACTAAGAATTGTAAAAAAAAAATTAGTAATAAATATAACCACTCCCAAATTTTAAATCCTAAACCACAGTAATTAAGGTTTAATATAAAATTTCTTAATCTTACAGAATAATTTATGAGCAGGATTCTCTGACATCGATATTAAAATTTGACACCAAATCTTAACTGTTAATTTCTATAAATCTGACGATTATAATTTATTAAAAATTAATAATTAATTAATGAGTGTGATTGAATAAATTATAATTGTTAGATTCACGAAATCAAATATTAAGATTTAGTATCAAACTTGTTAGTTTGATAAAGGATATTATATACATATATAGGGATAGAATAGGATCAATTTATATCTATGTAAGAATAACAAATCGTATATCGAATATTAATAATTGATTTCCGTCAATTTAATAATTATAATTTATTGAAAATTAATAATTAATTAATATAACTCAATAAATCTTAACAGCTAGATATACGAAAACTAATGGTTAAGATTTAGTGTAAAACTTCTTATTTTAACATCGATACAAAAATACAGAAAAAATATTTCTGCAGATAAGTTATCTGCATTTACTTCCAAAATGATATCGTTTTGGGATTGAAATATTAAAAAATTATAATTATAAAGACTATAATAACCCTAAAATAAATTAAAATTATAAAAATAACATGATTTCCACCTAAAACGACGTCGTATTGGGCTCACTGCAGATAACTTATCTGCAGTAACTACAGAAAAAGTGAACCCATAAAAATAATATGTTTCGTGTATATATATATATAGAGGTAGGATCTTTTGACACCAATGTCAAATTTGAAGTTTGACACCTCATATGAGAGCCATTAGATCATAAAAGATCAATGGTGTCACATGCTTACAAATAAGAGTCATTAATCTTTTTTGGTCTAATGGCTATCAGATGAGGTGTCAAATTTCAAATTTGACACCGGTGTCAAATGATCCTGCCTCATATATATATATATATATGGAAAAACATTTCTCAAGCAGCTTGGGATAAGTTTATTTTCGGCTATCCCAAAACAACGTCGTTTTATTTATTTATTTCCTTATATTAATTGATTTACCTTTGAATTGTTATGATTTCATTTTCTCTCTCTTCCTTTATCACCATTGATTCATATTTGTACGGTTATGATTTAATAGCCGGAGATAAAATTATCTCAAGCAACTTGAAAAACGATAAGCCCATATATATATATATATATATATATATATATATATATATATATATATATATAATTGCATAATTTTTAAAAAGATAAATTATATTTATAAACTTTTTATTTACAACTTAACTATATATTAAAAATAGTACATGAGTTAGATTATATATTACCTATTTATAAAAAAAATTAAAAGTAAATATCATTTTTGGTCCTCAGCAAATTTTACGATGCTCGCTTTAGTCCTTAGCAAATAAAAATGTCCATCGTGGTCCCTAAGAAATTTAAAATGGACCCATTTTAATTCCTTTAGGGACTAATATGGCTCTTTTTTAAATTTGTGAGGGACTACAATTTCAACTAAATGGACCTATTTTGAATTTTTGAGGGACCACTATGGGCATTTTTATTTGCTAAGGACTAAAACGGGCATCTTAAAATTTACTAAAGACCAAAAAGTGTATTTACTCAAAAATTAAATATAAGATCCTCAATTTTAAATCTGAATATGATCCACATCTTAACACCGCAATGAATTTTAATGCACAGTGACATTTTGAAACCCGATATTGTTGTGACTACTATTTATGATCATTGCCATGTCAGAGCGTAAGCATGATGGTTCTTGATGAACCATTTAATTTCTTTCGCCTGAAGAGTATTATAGAAATTCTGAGCACCAATATTAAAATACCAGTATAATGTTATATTGCATTGGTATATTAACCAATTGAGTTGGTGATGTTTACAGTGGCTTGAAGTTATCTGCATTTCTTCAGAAAAATATTTTAACTTTTGCTCCGAAATAATTTATTTATATTTATTGCAGAAAAAATAAACTTATTTTATTATTACACATTAAGAAATAAGTTATTATTTCGAGAGTTATTTTTAAATAAATATTTTTAAAAATTAAAATTATATAATTAATATTGTTTAAGTGTAAAATATTATTTTTTAATAATTATTTCATTTACAATTGGTTTAAAGCACCCACCTAATACGTAGTTTAATAAAATTAATATAAGCTTTAACCTAAGAAGCTTTTGATGAAAATTCCTATTAGATTATGTTTATATATGTTTAAATGTCCATTTCATTTCATTAACTTAAAGTTTAAACTTTTTGGCATAGTTTAAACACAGTTATATCTCATTTACAATTTCTTTAACTTTTACAAATACGGTGAGTCTTCGACTTACAAATGTCTAATTAGGCGGTCATTTGATACAATCATAATTTGACATGTACCCAACTTATTGTGGTATATTTAGTGTTATTTGGCATCCGAATTTAATTCTTAAAGAACATCTCTCCAAAACTAGTTACACTGCCTCTCTCCTACGCCAATACAACTATACAAGTGTTGTATCATGTATGCATCCCCCAAAGCCCATTTAATAGCACACTAGACGAACCCATATTTGGTGCATAGTATAAAATAAGGCCTGATAGTATAAAGTCTGATTTACTGACGGACCCACGTTGGGTCACATGTCCGCACTTTGGATTTTATTTAAATTTTTTTTAGTTATGTAGGTTATTATTTGTCTCTTGGTTCAATATTTATAGTAGGAGTAAATATCATTTTAAGTTTCTAACAAAAAATATAGTCTCTATTTTAGTCCCTTATCAAAAATTAGTCTCGAAGAGGTCCCTAAAAAATTCAAAGTGGATCAATTTAATTAATATCGTGGTCCCTCACAAATTCAAAAAAGACCTACATTAGTCTCAAAAAGACTAAAATAGGTCCACTTTAAATCTCATAGGGACCAGGTGACTCTTTTTGTTTCTAATGAACTAAAGTGGGAACCGAATTTTTTGTTAGAGACCAAAAATGATATTTATTCTTATATTAGTTAGCAACGTACAGAGATGATTAAAACAACGTAACAACACAAATTGATTAGAGAGAAAACTTATTCTTCCTCCCATGTCACGTACCCATTTCCATGATTTCTTCATCCTTTGTTATGGAAGCAACTAGATTATGAGCGGGTTCAAGCGTTAATTTAAACTTTAAAAAAAAAAAAAAAATTTGTATAAGATAATATCATCTAGTATTTGGTAATGCACTGTATAATACTATTAAAATATTCAAAAAATGTCATATGATATTAATTTTTATAAAAATTTATTGATCAGTGTGTCCAAAATATAAATTAATTTTTATAAAAATAAAAATATTCAATATTTTAAAAATAATATATTGAAAAATAAATTTTTATTTTAATAGATTAATATTAAAATAATATATTAATTTTTGAGAATTACATTGGTCAACGATGTTAATACATCAATCTCTTATCAGGTCTTATCACTCACCCTTAGGCCGGATTAAGTTATACATCATTTTGATGAATTAAGGGATTATGCTGTATAAGCTTATACTATACGGTAGTCACATCAAACAACTGAAAATGTCATAACGTATAGTATAAGCTTATACTATCATGCCTTATACGTCACACCAAACAAGCCCTTATATAATTTGCAAAATTGCTGCTTTATTATATTTTCATACGAATATCATTTAAATTCTGCTAGCAAGAAGATATATTTTTTCCCTAAAATATCATGGAAAGCGTAATTTTAGTAATGAGATCCAATTGAGTGGATATTAAAATTTGCATTTATTTAGTTTGGTATCAATTAGAATTCCTATTAATTATGATATAAGATATTTAAATTAATAGAAATGATTTTGTTTCCTTATTTTATGTGCTTATATTTGGTTTAAGGGTTCGTTTTTTGTGCAGTTACTGCAGATAAGTTATCTGCAGTAAGTCCAATACGATGTCGTTTTGGGACGAAAATCATGGTGCTTTTGTAATTTTAATTTATTTCAGGGTTATAATAGTCTTTATATTTATAATTTTTAAAGATTTTAATACCAAAACGACGTCGTTTTGGGAATAAATGCAGATAACTTATCTGCAGTATCTGCAAAGATATTTTTCCCATGGTTTAAATAAGAATAATTTATCTTGTGTTTTCTATCGTATCTCATCCAATCAATCTATTATGGGTAAAGAATTTCTCTGGTCAATGGAGATAAAGTTATCTTCAGTAAGCTCAGAACAACGTCGTATTGAGGGTAACATTTGCGAAAACTTCGACATACTCTATTCACCCCTCCTAAAGCTACATTTCTTACGGTGTTAGTGTTGAGGGCTTTGACACGAATAATTAGCTATTTTCATTATTTTCAAGTGTAAGATATTTGTGTTCATGTCAAATTGCAACACAACATAAACATGATCCACATATCTGCTCATAATTGACCCGTTTAAATTAAATAATCTTATAATTGCATATTATCTTGGGATGAAATTGGGTCGGACCGGCCTACAGGGGTCTACGGCTCGACCTACATCAGGCTAGACCTGACTTAGTATATTTTGTATAATAGGCCGGGCTCGGGCCTTAAAAATGCCTGCTTAATAAAAAGGCTGTAGGCTCACTTTCAAAAGGCCGGGCCTATAAGCCTACAGGCCAGCCTATATTGTACTATTTATTTTAAATAAAATAAAATAGAGTAAGTCTGTATTGAAGGAAAAAAAATATATAAATTTAATCAATTACAATTATTTATAACTTAATTATATTCGATTATATTTTAATAGAAATCTTACTTTATTTCTTATATAAGAGGAACCAACATCTCAACATGTTAGATTGTGTATATGAATATATTAAAAGATTTTTGGGAGATGTTATACTTACTACAAGCATCATGATGTGTTTGTTGGATTCATGTAGTTATTTTAATTTACATAGTATGGATTTGTTTATCTGATGAAATATGTGTTATTTAGTTTGAGCATTTTGTTTTTGAAAATGACTTAAATGCATATTGTATTAGTTTTGTTATGATTCATGATTCTGTTTGGACGTTGAAATTATGATTTTTGGTGTAGCAACAGAATTTGAGTACTATGTGAAGTTGATTCATGGTTATGCTTGGAAGTTAAAAATTAACAAGTTAACGGGTTAAGCCAGACCATTTGTTTTTTTATAAACGGGTCAAACTAGGCTAACAGTTAGACTCATACTAGGTTTGAGCCAGGCTAAATTGAAATTTTTTGACGTAGACTTGGACTTTTCGGGGCAAAGTTTGGCCCAGTCCAGCCCACTTTCACCCCTAATATTATCCACTTTTATTTATGGGGAAAGATATTGTAATAACCAAATTGTGTTACTACCATGTTACTACCAATCAATCTCACCGTTAGATCGATTATGTTGATCAAACGATTATATTTATTTCCATATTTGTATGGTCATGATTACCCATATTTAAAGTGAAAGCATTAAACATGAGAAATTATAACCATGCAAATGTGCAAATAAATATAAAGTATTAAATTTGAAAAATCATGACCATACAAAGATGAAAATAAATATAACCGTTGGATCCACATAATCGATCTAACGGTGAGATTGATTGGTAGTCACTTGGTAGTAACACAACTTGGTTGTCACAATATCTTTCCCCTAATTATAGAAGCAAACAAAATTAGGAATGAGTTTGCCTCTTATTTTTTGAAATTATATTTCGAAATGCCATGTCTTGAGAATTATTGATTAAGGGCATGCTGATTAAGGGCTTTTTGAAATTTGTTTTTTGATTTTCAAAACAAGAAAACCTGTTTGATAACCCGTTTTGTAATTTTTTTTTTGAAAGTTGTAACTATTTTTTTTGTTTCTAGAACCCAATTTAAAATATATATTTGAGTTATTTTTGTTTTGTGTTTTTATTTTTAACTTTCAAAACAAAAAATATAAAAAATACATATTTCATTGGGGAAGGATATACTTACTATCAAAAAAGTTTACAACTTTTACAACCAACCTAATCACCGTTGATTTCCGTTAATCTAACGATTATCATTTATTAGAAATTATTGGGTTGCATATATTAATTAATTATTAATTTCAATAAATAATAACCGTTAGATTGACGAAAATCAACGGTAATTAAATTAGTTGTAAATGTGGTAAACTTTTTTGGTTGTAAGTATATCATGTCTCTATTTCATTAACTATTCTACAAAATAATTTCAAGAGCAAAAAAATCAAAACACAATCAATCAAACGCTTATAAAATGTCATATTTTAATTCTCCTTGACTCCATCAAGGGACCTGTTTTGCCACAACGTAGAATCGTGGCTTAAATTTCATATATTCTTCAACTCTATTATCTTACTCCACACAAAATGTATTAAACAGACAATATTGCTTACCAAAAAAGAAGAAGACAATATTAATTTGTCAATAAATTTAAAATTAATAAGTCAAATAATAATCAATAATGTAAATAATTATCTTGATTTTTTAAAATCACACGAATTCAAAAAGTATAAATTTATTGTCGATAACATTAATTTTATAATTGATTTTTATTTTATTTACTAATTTTATAAAAAAATGCTTAAATAATTATTTTGTTAATTTTATTAAATTGACTTTATTATTTAGTATTAAATTAAAAATTTATGTTAAATTGGAAATTGACATCTTAAACAATTCATAAAGTCAAATATTATTTAACATCATAAATAATAATGCTGAAATACATAGAAAAAAAGACTAAACAAATAAAGTTGGGATTGATAAAGAGAAACCTTATTATAAAAAATAACAATTAATATTCAAAACCCAACAACCTACAAATGGAGTCCTACACACCCTTGTATAAGGAATCAAATAACCTTAAAACGTAATTAAAGTATACCTAAAAAAAGGAAAATTTAAATATACTTGATTGCCAATCAATTGACATTAAATATATCTAACATAAGAAAATAATTAAAATAAATCAACCTAATAATTAAACGATCAATAAACAAAATCAAATCACATTCTAAATTTAACCTTTTTATGTAAGCTAATTCTAATTCTAAGTGCATCAAATCATTTTAATTTATTTGACACAATTTTTGAAATTCTTACAAATTCAAAATTGTCAATGGTAATAATTCGAAAATGGGTAAAGAAATTCTGCAGAGATAATTGAACTCAAAACGATATTATCGTGGGACGAAAATCAATGTACTTTTTGTAATTCTAATATGGGAAATGATATTGTGACAACCAAGTTGTGTTACTACTAAGTGACTACCAATCAATCTTACCATTAGATCGATTATGTTGATCCAACGGTTATATTTATTTCCATCTTTGTATGGTCATGATTTCCCAAATTTAATACTTTATATTTATTTTTACCTTTGTATGATTATGATTTCCCATATTTAATACTTTCACTTTAAATATGGGGAATTATGACCATAAAAAGATGAAAATAAATATAACCGTTGGATCAACATAATCGATCTAACGGTGAGATTGATTGGTAGTCACTTGATAGTAACACAACTTGATTATCACAGTATCCAACTTGATTATCACAGTATCCTTCCCCTTTTCCTTATAAATATAAATTTCCCAGAGAAAAGGAGGGAGAGAAAGAGAAAACGTGAGAAACTTCTTCGTTCGCAACTCAGAATATACAAAACGAAGACACAACAGCCTCCTCGCCTCTCCACACACACATTCACCAACTTCCTTCCTTCATTCACTGTAAGTTCCTCTCTCTCTCTCTCTCTCTCTCTCTCTCTCTCTCCACAGCACACACACGAACATTCTCTTCTCTCTCCCACTCTGCAGCTATTGACTTTTATTTATTTAATTTATTTACTTTTTCAACTGTTACCATTTAGTTGTGGCGGGAACCGAGGTTTTATTCGGTGGTCACCGATTTGTTATTTTCTCTTCTTTTTCGTTTCGGTTTTTCTCGTTAATGGAGGGTGGCGCCTTCGTTCCTTTCGTTGGTTGTGTTTTCTGACATTCGATGCTGCGTTCTTGCATCACCGTTTGCGTGTCTTGGTACCCATGAGTGTACGCGTTCTGAGATCCCCAAAGGGACACGTTCTAGGGTTTCTTTTTGTTCTTGGGTTGGGTTTTTTCTTCTTGGAAACCTTCAATGCTGGACGTTTTGATTTTCAATGTAGGGCTTTGCGTAGTTTGAATTTTTTGAAAAAATAAATAAATTCTGTTTTTTATTTATGGGTGTCGTGACGGAACATCTTGGGGTTTCGTATGAATCTTGTGTTGCACTTTTAGTTCGGTGCATTGGTTAAAGAATGGGTTTTCGTGATGGTGTTTTTCAATTTTGTCCTGAAGACTTTCGTGGGTTGGTTTGTCTCGCATTAACTTATAAAGTTTTTGTTTCTGGGAATTTCTTAGGGTTCCTTCTTTCAGATACACGTATCTTTGATAAATGAATTTGAATGACATAAGATTACGATGCAATTCAAAACATATTTCCCCGAGTGAAAGTGTATATGCTTATTTTGGGTTAAACTGGACTTACTTTTTCCTTTGGCTAGTTCTTAAGCTCTCCGTCAATGATGATGGAGACCAAAGAGAAACCGTTGAAGACAATTTGATTTTTTCCCCCCAAATCATGATTCACAGATTTTATGGTTTATTCAAAGATAGATTCAGCCAGTTTAAACTAATTTTAGTGCTGAGACATTATAATTCACATTCGAGTGGCTTCTGTATCATGGTTGCTTATAGCTTGTTTGTTCATAAACTGTTATAATTTTTTTTACTGACCAGAAGTATTAAGATCATAGCACTGAAAGGTTTCTGTTCTGTCAAATTCTCAATGCAGGGTGCATGTCCCTGGTTGCCAGGAATTGAGGTTATTTCTCAATGCCTCTTTTAAGGAGAAAGCCTTTTGCCTTGGCAAAACCTCCTGAGGATTTGAAGCTGGATGAACATGTTTACCGAATTCGATTTACGAAAGAAATATTTCGAGAATATCAGTATCCTTTGTAGTAATTTTTTTTCTCTAATTATTGCTTTTTAATTGTTTTGAACTTGAAAGTGGTTAAAATATTTGATTTAGCATCTTAGACTAGTTCTTTGAGAGTTTATTGATAATATATGTCTTTGGCATTGCATACTTGGTCCCAGCCACGTGAGGATAATGGTTGATATGCCTTAAAATTAATTAGTGATTATTTGGACCGTTTAAATCTATACCGCCAGAGGGTTTGGATGTGTAAAGTCACTGGAAAAACTGGTTTGACTTATGAGGAGGCTTTGGTGTCAGAACAACGTGCGACTGAGAAAGTTCAACAGTTTCCTAGAGAGTTAATGGCTCCTGCTTTAAGGATCATTCAGTACAGTAAGAGCTACTTTCTTCTGAGATGAAGAAATATGTTGATACAATGATGCATCCGTTTTTTTATCTTTTTCTTGATGTCTTGTTATAGATGATTTCTTTCTGTTCTACACGGGTAATTCTAAATTTCTAATGTCTGCAATTATTGAATTCTAATTCCTGTTTAATTTGCTGACTTTATAAGAACATGTGGTGGTTAATGCAGTGGGTTAATAATATACACTGCATCAATTCCTTTTTAGAAAGTATGATGCTTGTGTAGTGCATCTATCCATTGAATATAATATTTACGCTTAATCCCACAGTAGGACCAGTGAGTTGAATGTGTGATGTAGCTAACTTGAATGGATGAACCCAAATATGATTCTATTTTAATCCAGTAATGGTATTCAAAAGAGAGATGAAAGTAGCCTTGGACTTTCATGCCCCACTGAAGTTTGGGTTTCCTATGTTGTCTGGATTTGTGGTTGTCTAGTGTCTACCAAAGGATTCGAACTAAATGTTTCATTTTTTATCGAGCACAATATTCTATATATTTGCAACTTATGTGATTACATTAGTAGATTACTGTGCAGCTGGTTAAACAAGTCATACAACTTTCTTTAGACATTAAGCCTGTTCATGTATATCCATCAGGATAATCACCATAACATTTATAAGTCAGTCTGCATCTATTGACATTGAGTCAATTAGAATTTCAGTTTTAATGTGTATATGTTTTACATAATAATTAAATTGAATGCCATAACCGAAGGCCGTAACTTTTGATCACAGGATGATGTACAGCAAATTAAAGTGTTCTCTATATTCTTCTTATGAGCATTGACATTTTGATTTTTCTCCTTGTATCTAAGATATGTCATATATGTTTATTCATTATATAATGTTAGAGTAATAATGCTCTCAGCACTTGCAGAGATCAAATTGTAGTGGATAAGTGATAGCATAACTTAGACTTCTTAAATAAGTGTTCTGTAAACAGTTAGGGAAAATAGTAAAAGAAATGTTTCTGAGTAACTTGAAACTACAAAAATCATGCCTGTTAAAGAATTGCTACATAGAAATGTTCTGGGGACATATGTTAGCTTTCGATTCAAGTTGGTTGTACAATTATGTTTCTTTCCATCAGAAAGCTTGTATCATTTTTCATTCTGGATCGGACTGATTAGTGATCTTTTTGTTTTTGCAGGTATGCTCCCTTTGAAGGAACTTGCTGATTCTATTGCTGAAAAATTGCAGGAACGCTTGTTTGTGGGTGCTGAACTATATGGGAAAAAGGGTGATGGAGTATGCCCATGCAAAATATTAAAAGTCATCCAGGAAGGAGCTGACAAATTCTGTTATGAGGTAGCTTGGCTTGACAAAAACAAGAATATAAGTGAAAAAACACAAGTCAGTGTGGAAGATTTGGTGCAAAAGAAGCCGCTTTTTAGTAGGAATATGTTGAAGTCTTTTATTCGTGAATGTACATGTCGGAATGCCCCTTGGGTCTTACATGATGAGCTGGCACAAAGTCATGGAATATCACTTGACATTCCTAAGGAGTTAAGAGGAAGGATTTTTTTCAAAGATGGACTTTTAATTTGCTCCAAGAAAAGGAAAAATGAGGTAGATAGACAAAATGGAATATGTAGATTTAGTTTCTTTTTTGCTTTCCTATAAAGGAATAATACTATCTATAACTGAGATAGGTACAATCTAGGTTATTAATAGCGCACGATAGCTGCACAATCGTGCTATAGATGCGCATAGTGGCCTCCCCTGTAATTTTTGCTATGCAATGTGATAATTTGCATTGGTAGCCATAGTAGTTAATTGCTCCACAATAGCGTTGCGAGCCGCGCCTTATGGGCGTTGCGGTGCCTCGCCACAAGAAACCGCGCTGCACCGGAACGCAATAGCGGCCATTGCAATCGCATTTGCGGCCATATTTCTATCATAAGGAAAAATGCCAATTTTGTCCTAAATTTAAATGTGTAACAGAAAATTTTTAAGGTTTTTTTAGTATATCTTCATCTATCTCTGTTACTTCTGCTATCTCTGCCTTTAAAAAATGTTTCTTTTTGTCATTATTTCTGTCATATATTCATTCCGCTATTTCCACAACCGTTACCTTCTGTAACGCTATAGTGTTTTTTGGGGTTGGCCGCGACATGCGGCAATCCGCATTTGATAACTTTGGTGGTAACCGCAATTTTGACTGAAATTGCGGCCGATTGCGTTGTAGTCATGCTTCTAGAAAGAAGGGCAATTCCCATCTTTACCCCTGTGTAACGGGTGTCCAATGGGGTAAAATTGACTTTTCATCCCTCCTTTTTATCTAATGTAACTGTTCGAACCCTATTGTGCTTTTATCACTCTGGCACCGCCTCTCTCGACTCACTACTCTCTTCCATTCACTGCTCTCTCTCCTCCCCCCCTCCTCTGCAAGACCATCAAAGATCCGGTAATTTTCCGGTAAGCTCACCACAGTTTGGGGTCATAGTGTTTTTGGGGTCGGCCGCTATGGCACATATATCCTAATTAATTGCTTTTATGATTGGCTTGTTATTTAGTTAATGTATTTTATGATATTATTCTGTCTTAAATATATATCATATTCAGGGATCAATGGAAGAAACTGATAACTGTAAAAGGGAGAAGTTGGATGCGGCACAATTTGATGGTTCTGCCCAAGAGAAAGGTAGCGTTCAGAGATTGAAGCAATTTTTGGCTGCTTGTTGATTTGGTTTTATCCCCTTATTGTGCAGTTGTTTTTATTAATTTGTTTTCTCATCAAATACTATTTCGATTTGCTTTTAGTTTGAAATTTATTTTTATCCTCTACCTTGTTCTTTAGAAAGCATTTTCTCTTATGGTTTAGAAATCACAACTGTGTAAAATTGTATTATATCACACAACTTTCGGTATACATAATATCTCTTTTTTTTTCAAAAAAACTTAACCCTCTTATCCTTGTGATTTTAATTTTGTCTAAAAGGTTGTTGCTATCTCAAATTTTCCAGAAAATGACCAACAAAAGGATGAACCTATTAAATATCCAATTGATGATCTATTGGTGAAGCCTAGTCCAGATGATCCTGTTTTCACTGATCTTCCTTCTCCATCAAGAGACTTCAGTGTTCCAATGGATTGTGTAGGGGATCTCTTAATGGTTTGGGATTTTTGTACTTCTTTTGGAAAACTGCTGCACTTGTGGCCCTACTCTCTCGAAGATTTTGAAAATGCAGTATGCCATAAGGATAGCAATGTGGTTCTCCTTGTGGAATCTCATGCAGCACTTTTTCGGATTCTTATTAATGATGACGGTGAATACTCTTCAGCTGTAAAGAAACGAAAGCTGAAGTCTAAGGTTACCATCTCACTTACATATAATTCTTTTTGTTTGCATCATCAATAGATATTTGTCCATATTTAATGAGTTGGCTTGTACCAGTTGGATCTTTCTCCTTGCTATCTAGTATCGTTCATGAATTGCTCAATGCTTATCCAATCATTATTTTGATATGACAATATATCATTAATTTTTATTTTCAGATTACAATGATTAATTGGACAGAATATTTATGCGATTTTCTAGAAATGATCAACATTCCTGGTCTGAATCACTATGAAGCCACCATAAAACGGGGACATTATGGCCTTGTAGATGCCAAAGCTAAATTAGAAATCTTACGTGAATTGGTCAATCGAGCCCTTGAAACTGAAATATTCAGGGAAAAGTTGGATGAGTTTATTGAACAGCGGCGGGCACTTGGGGCCTCTAGAAGGGAAGAAGCACTGGAAGATGGTAGGAAGAGAAGAAAAGAGAAGGAGCGGTTGAAAGCTGAGTCAGAGGGCAATGGAACTGTGGATGGGTATCTTCTAAACAGTGCAAGTGTCTCAACAAACAATAATCCTAGTATACAAAATGGAGACGTGGGAAATAAAAGAAATGGAGAGATAGAATCATCTAGACAAAATGATCCATTGGGTACAAGGTAAGACTCTGTATGTTATGTGTATATCTGCAAATCACATTATTCTGTTCGGTGGTTATTGCATTTTCACTTTTTCCCCTTTCTAAAATTTAATTTGTAGTGGGATCAAGCATTCAAATCCAGCTTCAAAAAAGGCATCTAAGAAGCTGAAGTCAGAGCTGAAAGAACCAACGGAAAATGGAAAAGAATTATCTAGAAAGGAATTAATGAAACAGTTGAAGGGCGATAAGGATCCACCAGAGAAGAATAGTAAAGAACAGAGGGTGCTCCCATTATCCCTGCTCAAATTGTTGTCTTTTCTTTTAGTTGATCTTTTATTGACGCTTTCTGTTATACAGAGAGAATATTTTGAACGGGAGATAGAGAAACGAATTGTTTGTAGAAGCCCATTAGGTAAGGACAGAGATTACAATAGGTATTGGTGGTTCCGTCGTGATGGGAGGATATTTGTCGAAAGCTGTGACTCCAAGGAGTGGGGATACTACTGCAGTAAGGAAGAGGTACTAACGAAGATAACCTGCTATATTTGCATTTTCTACATATATCTTCTCTAATTTTCAGTTGGCATGCTTGAATAGCTTGATGCATTGATGGGTTCCCTCAATTGCAAGGGTGAGCGGGAAAGGGCGCTGCGGAAACAATTGGAAAAATATTATAGTACAATATGGTAAGTTAGATTTGCTTTTCAATATATGACTTGCGCAGACAACCTTTATAGTTGTTTCCCTTGTTTTCTATTCGCATGATACTTAAGTTATATCTTGATGCATACTTCAGCAAAAGCCTTGGTTTCAGTCTCGTAGTCCAACATGCACATATGCTTCTTAAGCCATGTATTCTGTAAGTGGATAAAAATAAATGAAGGAATAAATCAGAATACATGCTATTATGTCTGTGTTTTTAGATATAAAGTTTGTCAATGTTCTACTTATGTAAAAGGATCTTCTGGAGTTGTTGGCTGTGGCTTAAGTGAAATATGAATGCAGTTATATTAATTACCGTGATAGAATAAATGACTGTTTGCTGTCGATCTTGTTTCCAATTTAAATGCTGTTTTTATAGAATGAACACTTAAACTTACTACAGTGGTACATTTTGATTCCATTAAATGGAGGGAAACCAAGGAGAATAGAGCAGAACGTTTCTTTCCCTTCCCTTCTGTTTGTGCGCCAAATGCTACCTTAGTTCTCTTAACTCTCTTCTCCGCCACTTTTTCTCTTAATTGCACATGAGTATGTGCTTCACTTTCTAGTATATACTAACTCCATGTCAATATTCTGTTCTAATTTTAAAATACATAAAACGTAGAAAGAATTCATAGTTTCATCTTGTTCTATTACGTCTACCAAATACTACCTAAGAAGTGCAGAGAAACTATGGAATCTAACGTTATTTATAATTTTACCAAAAAAATTACTATTATTTACTTTTTTTTGTTTAAATTTACTTTAGTAGCACTAATTTGTGGTGTACATATTTAACAAACATTTGAATTAGATAATATTTTTGAAACTTTTGGAACAGAGTGAAGATTGAAAGCTGCCTCCATGATCACTTTATTGTTAGTTGACATTTTTTTTTTAAATCATTTTCCCTCTTGATTTGTGAGCTTTCTTTTTCATTGTTGCATGATTACAGCTCAGAATTACAGAAAAGATCGAAGGATTTGATGCAGAAGATTGCAATGGATGAGTCTGTCCCTCGAAGGTCTACTCGTGTTCGAGCACCACCTAGGCAAAACCCTGCTAATGCTTACCTCAGATATGTTAACAAGTGGAAAGAATAGCAGGGTAAATTTAACATATGGTAAGTTTAACCTTCAAACTGATGAAACTTTTAACTTTTTTAAGGGAGCAGGTTGGTTCATAGCGAGGAGAGGAAGAAATTAAGTAGTCTTTTCGATCCATTTTTGGATGACGGACAAGCATGTGTATATATGCTTGTTTCTGAAATTTTGTACATGACTTATACCATTCTTCAATAATAGCGGAAACTAGTAAAATTTATGCTATTTTACTCCTTATTTTTTTGATAGATAAATATGGTTGTAAGGATGGTTATTTCAATACTACCAGTGACGGCACCAATATCATGTTAGGAAGCCAAAGGACGAGTAGATGGTTTCCGAGATGATTGCTTTTAGGATATTTACTCAAGGATTTTCTTACACGATAGCAACTCACTTGTACTTCACGGGCTTAGAATTAAAAATTAAAATTAAATCTTGTTTTATGAATTTTATTCTGATGACAAATCATTTCATCTCCTTTCTTTAAAACCCTAAGAATAAGTTATATAATCAACAAATAATTTTTATCTTCTTTTTTTTAACCTCAGTTTAAAAGTAACTTTTTAACTTAAAAAAAGACATGCTAAATAAGCTCTTAATCCACCTTAATACAAGGCAAGTTAAGGTGGGTTGGTTGATTGAAATTTTCAATCCAACCAGCCAAAATAGGAGGGTTAAATGGACTATCCTGACCAATATAGTTCGATTCATTAGACCATTTTGAATGGTGGTCAAATTGGGTAATAAAGGAATAGTATTTGGTTCATGACCCCCTAGGTTCAAAACATTTACAAATTTATGATGGGAAATATAAGAATCATGTTGCAGGAATGTCACTGTTCATTCCTGCAACAAGGATACGGCGTCGTATCCTGATTTTGGTTTGACTTTTTTTTTTTAAGCGTGGGACCCACACTTGATTTGTGTGTGTAGGAAAGTGCTCTTGTCATGTCAAATGACAAAAAGGAAACCCATTTATGATCCCAAGAATGAGTTAAACAATACGTAAACTTTATCCCATTCCTATGTGGTCATGTACACTTAGACAAAACCAGTAAACTCAATTATAACATTGTTTATGAACGCACATTTAAATATGGTTTTGGTATTGCCTATGTTCTATAGTATGTATTGGGATTTTGTAGTTACTTTTATGTTTTTTTTTATTAAATTATTAAAATAATATAAGTTTTAAGTATAATATAACTGTTGGGTCAAGTATTGAATTATATTTTCATGTTATTACTTTCGGTATCTTTACTATGGGGTGGAATGTTGAATATTAATAATGGACATGGACATGCTATTAAATTTTGTTTGGACGCTGGATATGTGTTTTGAATAATATTTTTGAAGCATGTAAACTCAAATAGGTTTACGATTTGAGTTTATTAAAATTCTTGAATGGAACTACAGGTCAATAAGGGATTCGAACCTATATACTCGAGGAGTACATAGCTTTATCTGAAACCCTTGAACCATCTGAATCTTATAAAAACGATTCGAGCTATTTCTGATTACGATTTTTTTTTCTTAGTATTTAATTTTTTTTATTAATAGATTTAAGGGGTTATTTGTCAAACACAAAAAATCAATAATTAGGTACTATAGCCGATTTTGAAATTTTAAGTGTTTGATAAGCATAAAAAACTTTAAAACTAATTATTATTTGATCACTTTCAAGCTAAAATTAGTTATAAAAAAAAAAGACCAACGTAAAGTTGATTTTATTGTATTTCATTTTTATTAGTGGCTTCCAATTTTTCCTAATTGTTTTTTATGTCTTCTGTCACTTTCTCTTCAAATTTATATTGAATCTTTCCTTATTTCTCTATTTATATTTAAATTTTAATTTGCACGTAATTATGCAACTGGTTTAGAATAAATTTTAATCAAGGCAAAAATATATCAAAGCTAGTTAAAAAAAGGATTAATATTTTTTATGTTGCAGAAGACTTTTATACTAATAAAAAAAAAAAACGTGAAACCCATATGGAGCCCTGTGAGGATCAAAATCAAAATCAATGGTTACAAAATGATATTAAGTGAAAGTTGTTAATTTAATTTTGATTCAATGACATACAAATAATTATTAGAGGTTAAAAAGAAAAAGAGATTATAAATATAACTTTCTCTAAAAATAATCTAAATCATGTAAGCAGATTTGAAGGGTAAGACAATTGATTTAAGAATTGCTTATATCTTTCTTATTTTTCTCTCTTGCTTTTCCCCTTACACCAATCTTTAGGTTGTTTCTTCTTTTTTTTTTTTTTTTTTTTTTTTTTAAACCACAAGTTTTTTTTTTATGAGAGGTAATTCGGTTCAAGCCAAAAATATCTACATTATGGTGAAACTAATTTTTCCAAAAAAAAAGAAATTACATTCACAAAAATTTACTTAAACAAAATGAAATACGTAACACTTAATCCAAACCCTTTTGGTTTTATGGCTTCTGTGTTTTGGTTGGTCCTAAATTACCCTCAAACTTGAAATCTACTCCTGCCTCGGTAATGATAAGAAGTGAACAACAAAAAAGCAATATAAAATTTACACGACATTTTACTATGCATAGGTGAATCGAAGGTTGTGCCACACCTTTTAGGAAAGTTAACGGTCATGACGATTATGCCATACATTCCCATGTAAGTCATTTCCTGCTGGCATATGCATGAAATACTTATGAGTGTGACTGTGACTGTGACCAGTAACTGATTTTGGGAATGCGTGTGCCATGGAAAATTATTGCACAAACTTGCTTAACTAATAATTAATTTGCACAAATTGTTTTCATAATATTTATGTTGAAATCGCTCTTCAAATTGAAAAGATTTTATTTTTTAATAAAAAAACAACAATACTGCCAATTAGCTGAGGTGACTTAAAGAGTACCATAAAAATCTCCTTTACAAAAAGGCGTAGAGCAACAAGACTTCTCAAATTCTTACTCCTCTGAAGTGAATTCGTGACATGAATTTATTTTTGAAGCATGGAAGATTTTTTATTTTTTCATTTTTTTCGTTGGAGCATGCCTAACTTTTTATTTTTTGCCTGCTTTTTCAAATGTTCTATGATATGCCAATGATAAGCCTTCAGATACATTAATGTACCTTACTGGCTATATGATATGAGCCAGAAACAAAGTGACAAAAAAAGAAACACATTTTATTTGAACATGACCCTGCGATTAGTTCTTTTATGAGGATAGCAAAACAAAGCAGAAGACATGTATATATGTGTTCTCAGGGCACCAACGCCTTGCAACTCCAAAGCATATTTACAATTCTGCAGTGTGGGAAGCAGAATTGTTTGGAATATAAAACTAAATTATCTCAATAACAGCTCGACCAACAATTTTTCCTTCATTGAGATCTTGGAATGCTTTGCCTGCCTCCTCAAAGGTGTATGTTCTAGAAACAGCATGTCCAAGATTGAAGATACCTGTTTCTGCCAATCTAATTAACTTTGGAAGATCTTGCCTCGCCCTGCCTCCGTATGAGCCAATAACTTGTATCTGCTCAAATCAAAATTCAATATGCTTAGATTATTTTATTTTATTTTAAGTTTCATATATATATGGGGCAAATCATTTTTATACCGGTATAAAAATAAGAAGTTTTATACTCTTTCTTAGCCATTGACTCACTTATATTCATTCGAATAAATTAGAGATGTTAGATATAAATGAGATCAATAACCAAAATTGAAAGTGTAACTTATATAAATATATATGCGGAGAGAGTACACACCTTTCTACGAACAAGACGATTTATATCCACTTCTCCTAAAGAACCAGCTTGTGCCAGTCCAATCATCACGGCTTTTCCTCCATCCTTCACACTTTGTGTGCACTGAGCAAATGTCTGTGGTTTCCCCAAGGCTTCCACAGCAACGTCAACACCCTTTCCACCAGTAATTTCCTGTGTGAATTAGTGCAAACAACCAAATAAAGGGTCTCCTTAACTGAAAGAAATGAGGCCATGATAGTGTGAGTGGATAACATGTTAAGAGCGAGCCAATAAGGCGGTGTGTGTGTGTATACATATATATAAGGGTAAACAAATCATGAAGTGTGGGCAAAGTTAATGTAAACACGTAATAAATGAGCTGCTCTACTTTTTACATGTCAAAATACACTTTACATTTTGAAAATTTTCTGATGCAGAAGTCATTCTAAAGCCTTAGAAGATCTTGTTTCTTTGACAGTTTTTAATGGAAGTCATCTAACAAATACTGATTCATGGTAAATACATATAGTGTTTCTAATATGTCAAATGAAAGAGTGGCCGTTGTACTATAAACTAAAATAATACTTGTACAACAGATAATCTCTCTAAATGAGGTATCATGCAGGGAAATTAGGGGGGGAAATAGTTTCCAAATAAATCAAAAAAAGTAAATAATAAATTACACTTTCATAATTAATTTAAACTGCTTTAGCACAATAATCCTTGGTCCTGCATAGCTAGATGTTAAACAATGAGGCAAAAGGGATATGCATATAGCCATATACAATTATCTTTTCAATGGGATCTTCCTTTGCTGAATTTATAGTGTGAGTAGCACCAAATGTCTTTGCTTTCAGTAGTTTTTCATCCTGAACATCCACGGCAATTATATCTGAGGCACCAAATGCTCTAGCTATCTGCAAACAACTGGAATAGATGATAAAGTTTAAAGGTAAAACAACTGCATTTGATTAGAGCCAGTTGCTCCAATGTATGAAATGCTCAAATTAGGAAATCTACTGATTTCCAAATTTAATGTAAATGAAAACATCAAATAATTCAGATTTCTATAAATTCTTTTTTCACCAAAAGGCTTTCCACAATTTGTACAGCTCTTCTAAAGTTCTCAATTACCTATCGGCTACTATATATAAAGAGTGTTTGGTTTATTTATTTTTTTCAATTTTTTTTTTTTGTAAATATTCATTTTTAGATTATATGTTTTCTTTGATAATTACAAAAGGTACACCTTTTTGTTCCCTATTTTGAAGAATTTGCAAAGGAAATGATAGAAACAAGATTTTGTTATTTTTACTATTTCCTTTGTAAATTCTTAAAACGGGAAACAAAGTGAAAACAAGGTAGCATTTTTGTAATATTTAGTGAAACATATCAACTGAAAATGAAAACAAAAAACAAACCAAACAAACCCCTAAATGTGTAGTCACTAGCAAATTTTCAACAATTCATAAACAAAGCATAAAAGAATCTCATAAGCAACTATCTTGGCCATATCGTACCAGATGTTAATAAAAAGGTTACCAAAACTTCCAAACACTCGGGCGTTAGCATTACCATAAGGCTGAGATTAAATGTATTGTACCACAAACAACTATTTTTTTCTTTGTTGACTCCCTAAGAATATTTGAAGACAGCTACAAACTACAATATGTAACCTAGTGTAGCTCAAAGCAAGCATTATTAAAAGGAAATACGCACAGCACAGCTAGCAGAAGATTTAACAATGTAACATTCATTTGAGAATTGATTAATTTACCTAGATCCTACACCCCCAGTTCCAATAACAGCAACAGAATCACCAGGACGCACTTCAGCCGCATGAGCCATAGCACCATAAGCAGTAAAAACAGCACATCCTAGAATTGCAGACTCGGAATATGGCAATGAGTCTGGTAACACAGCCAATGCATTTGCTGGCACAACACAGTATTCTGCAAGCCCTCCCATACTATACATGAATATTGGTTTTCCTATAAAATGCTGACTATTTTCAGTATTCCAATAATGAAAGATTCTACTAACAGGGATAAATATGCTTGAAGAACATTGAAATTTGTATCAGATGAAAATAAAACACCATAGCAGAGATATATATACATGCCTTTCGTATGAAATTATAATGTATAACAATTAAGCTTTTATAGATGGAAACATTGAGAACATGGATTTATTTCAGGAAAAGGAAGTTAATTCTGTTGTGCTTCATGATCAGTGATATCAGTAATATGACTATCAAGTAACAAGCCCGGGTGTCTGTGGCAGTGCTGACTGTAGTTGGCCGATAAAACAAAATAGATAAAGGAAAAAAGAAATAAGTTATATTACAAGACTTTTCAATAATATGCAAATCATATCACTGTTGCAGCAGGTGGTAGTAGGAGGGCCAGGGGAAAAAGTAGCAATAATCATTGTTAGCCTTCAAAAAATAGTTAAGTCATACTAACCATTGCTTCGAAGAAAAAGACGAGTTTCACCATCATAGAGGGTTCCTTTTGCCCGGTTATAAGCAAAGAAAGCTTCACATAGATCATCATGGCCCTGCACACCATTTGGAGCAGTAATGACAACATCAATGGTGAACAAGAATTCCGTTGACATATAGAGTGGAGTGTGTTTAACACAATCTTACCTTGGAACAGTAGGAGCAGTTGCCACAAGGCATAATGAAGGCCCCAACAACTCGAGATCCAACTGGAAGCCTGAAACATGGAGAATCCGAGCATAATTGTTATTCCTTTCTGATTGTCATCTAAAATTATAACATTTTCATTCAATGTAAATTGACTGGAACATAATCACACAAAAATGGAGTAGTAAAATAAATTTCTATTTCTAATAACATTCACCTTTCAATGATTTTGCCGTCATAGTGTGGTCCATGTTCAACAACTTCACCAGTAATCTCATGCCCCACAACACAAGGACTGGAAAAAGGAATTTCACCTTTCAAAACATGTAGATCAGAGTGGCATACTCCACAGGCTGCATTTCACAATGACAACATTAGACAATTAGACCCAATAATTAAAAATTGAAAATTTGGAAGACCCTTGTTGGCAAGGAATTGAAAAGGGTACCCTTGGTTTTGATGAGAACTTCACCAGCCTTGGGGCGAGGCATGTGGAATTCCTCAATGGTGAGAGGCTTGTTGGGTTCCCAGTACACAGCTCCACGCATATAAGATGGCAATCCTCCTCCTCCTCCACCACCACCACCACCATAAGCTTGGCTATGAAAGGAAACAACATCATGTTGTTCATCCACGGCCTTGTGGATTGAGGAATGGTGAGCCAGTAAGTGATTGTGGAAGCACCAAGAAGAAGAAAAGGGGATCTTGAAGCTATGGGTGATGGTTCTACGAACAATAGCAGAAGCCATTTGTGAATTTCAGTAAGAAGATGGTGTAAGGTGAATGGATCACGACAACCTGCGGCAACTATATAATAAGTTCATTACTGAATACTAAATACCAAATCCATCTCCAAACTTGACATGTCATCATCCATCATCCCTTCTATTCTATTAATAAATGCCAAATTCAATGCTTGTTGTTTTCATCTTTAAATTTTGTATTTATCTTTGTTTTTTTAAATGGAAAATATGTGTGAATTGATAATTTAAAAATAACCTACTTGTGGTCTAGTGAATAATTATCCCTCCAAGTGGGTCTTGTATTGATAATTTAACCCACATGTCAAATTTTTTTAATAAAAAAATTTGTATTCAAGCAATCATAATAAAATACAAAATATAATATGTGTGAACATTTGAAATATGCATTAATTTATGTGTTTTTATAGCTTATGCTTGTAGTGAAAAATGAATGGCATATATGTAATGCAAATTTGATAATTTTTTAAAGTTTGAAAATTATGTATCATTTTTTTTTTCTGTAAAACTCCTTTAATATAATGCGTGGGTTGTGAATTGTTAGCAAATTTCATGAACTAAGAAAATTAGTTAATTATATAATCAGCACTATATCTATCTTTTGTTACGTTTATCAAATTCTCTAGTACATTTTGAAAGGAAAATAGATTAAAAATCATTGTTGTTTTTGGTTGAGAAATCCCTATTTTTATGGGCTTTGATTTTCTTATGTTGCATGAAATTTAAATTTTTATGTTGTGACTCAACTAGTGGTGGGTTTCATATTTATTAAAAAGAAAAGAAAAATTTTGCACACAAATCGAAGTGTCACAACATGATAATTGAATTCTCATGCAACATGAGAAAATATTTTTACTACTTTTATTTATGGGTTTAATATCTTTAATGTTGTAGGAAATAAAATTATCTCTTACATATATAAAAGTATGTGAACATGGATCTCACAACTTTTATATGTATCTAGGAGATAATTTATTTTATCTCAACGGTGAGAAACACCAAATCCTTTATTTATACGCATGTATGTTTTTTAGTTTATGATATACTTATATATTACATTTTTTAAAGGAGATTATTTGTCTTGGGAGACAAGTTCTTCTGTTACTTTGAGAGACAAATAAAATGGAGTTCATTGATTTAAAAAAGAAAAAGAAAAGGCACTTTTTTTTTACGTGAGAGTAATATGAAAGAGTAATCTCATAAGACTATGACTTCTCTTTTTCCGCAATCAAACTTGTATGTGACTGCCGTATGTTGCAAATTAGTGAAAAAATGATTATGTTGAATGAAAAAAACAAAGAGTGCAGTAAAGCCCTAAACTAATGGAAACAAAACAATCATTTACTGGATACCAAAGCAGAACACGATGGATAGGTTGATGGGAGGAACTTGACGAAATTGCAGCGATGGGGACAAAGGAATGGAAGGAGAATGAAAGTTTGGAAGAGAGAAATGGGAAATGAATTTTTGGAAGAGAAGGAGAACATCACGTGCTTACTAATTCTGAATGGATCGTGATCGTTGGATCAAAATGTGATAAAAGGTCAGGATGTGGTGTAAAATTTTTAGGGCATAATTAGTGTGATATATTTTAATTATTTGATATGACTATTGTATTGTATAAGCTTATATAACAAAATTTCTTTATACATTAAAATAGTGTTTAACTTAATCAGGAGTAGTAGAAGATGAGATTAGATGAAGTTGATGTATTAGGTGTCATATCGTATGTGTCTTCCCCTTCGCCCCTTTTTTCCCCCTCACGTTTTCCCCCGTTTATCTCTCTGCCGTTCTCGAATACCTCGCAGCTGAGGTTCCTGCTTTTGTTGTTTTAACCGATTTGTTTGTTTATTTAATTTTTGTTCTTTGGTTGTGTTCTTTTCTGATGGTTCGAAATGTTCTGCTAGCCAGGAGTTTTAGTCGCGTAGGATTCAATTCCTCATTTGTCGGAATTCAAATTGAAATCCTGTTTTGGTTGGTCATGTTGTATATTTAGATTAGGATTAGAATTTTATGGTGTATATCTCTTCATTTTGGGAAAATTAATTAGATGTGATGACATATAAAGCACTTTTCTTTTTTGTCTGCGATATTTTTCTTTTTGTTTGCTAGATGTTAATATCATGTGCTCTTTTCTTTCTTTCTTTTACATAAAATAATTTTGTTTTTATCAAAATTTGAAATTACTTTTGGGCGTGATTTTGTTATTTCTGGTTTTCAGAATAAGATTTTAAAACCATGTTCTTCTTTCTCCTGGGTGCACCCACACTAGGTTCCACCAAGGGACCAGACTAGGTCTAAATATTAAAGTGTATTTTTGTAAAAAATATTTATTTTTATCATATCTAGTATTATACATTGTATTACCAAACACTGGATAATATTATTTTATACACTTTATTATCTTATATAATGTCGTGTCAAATGCTGGATAATATTAAAATTTAATCTGACCTTATACTATCAGGCATTATCTTATGATGTACACAAAAAATGCCATTAGTCTTACACTGGTGTAAAAATGGACTAGATCATTTGACACTGGTGTCAAATTAAAAAAATTGATATTAGGATACCAAAAAATAAAATAAAATTTGATATTAGATCTTACTAATTGATTTTTGCTAATGTAACAGTTATAATTTATTGAGAATTCATAATTAATTAATAAGTGCGACTTAATAGATTATAACCATTAGATTTACGGAAATCAACGGTTAAAATTTGGTGTCAAAAGATATTGTTCCACATATATAACCATCATCAAGGGGATGATAAAAATGAATGAAAGAATCTTGCAACTTACTCTCCAGAGGCAGGTTTGCCAACTAATCGGCACACTGATTAGCTTTTATGTAAATATGCTGAAAATGAACCCTCCGGTCCTTGGCCAACTATGCTCGTATTCGAGTCATCAAATGAGACTCGCGAGCAGTATCACCAATTTTGATGAGCACCGATATTAGATCTTACTCGTTAATTTTCGCTAATCTGACAGTTATAATTTATTGAGAATTCATAATTAATTAATAAGTGCGACTCAATAAATTATAACCATTAGATTTACGGAAATCAATGGTTAAGATTTGGTGTCAAAAGATCATGTTCCATATATATAACCATCGTCAAGGGGATGATAAAAATGAATGAAAGAATCTTGCGGCTTACTCTCCAGAGACAGGTTTGCCAACTAATCGGCACAATGATTAGCTTTTCTGTAAATATGTTGGAAATGAATCCTCCAATCCTTGGCCAACCATACTCGTATTCGAGTCATCAAATGAGTCTGGTGAGCAATATCACCAATTTTGGTGAGCACCTACTTGAGTCGCTCTCAACAATTATTCTCCTCCAACCGTCGCTCGAAGCCATTTTCAATCCTTTGAGTATGCCGCATAACTCAGCCACCATAGCGGAACATTGTCCAATCTTGTACGTAAATCCTCCCAGCCATTGGCTGGCATGATTTCTCGTTAGACCACCACATGTAACAAGACTTGGGTTCCCTCTTGCTGCTCCGTCCATATTTATTTTAATCCAGTGCTTTTTCGATGGGTTCCAAGAAATAATTACCTCCATGAAACTACCCCTAGGAGCGGATCCACACTGATTTTTATATGCTTTGTTTACCTGCATTGCTGACGAACGAATAAATGTAGCATTTTTTGTCCTAGCATCTATATCTTGCCCATGTACATATGCATTGTGCCATCTCCAAATTTGTGAGCATGCCAAGAAAAATATTGTTAGCCAAGAAACCCCCCCCCCCCCCCCCTAGCTGGAGATGCTCCTTCGATACGTTTCTGGTTAGCCATAAGCTAAGATCATCTCTGAAGAAATCCTCCGCCATGCTTGCAGGTAGTAGTTCATCCCACAGATTCTTTACATATTCACAATCTCTTAGCGCATCTAGGACTGACTCATTAGAGTCTAGGCAAGCTTGGCACATGGGGTTCACTTCGCCCTACCTCACAGTTAAATTTCTGGTTGGGAGATAATGACGCAATAGATAGCTTCCACATGAATATTTTTATCCACATTTTAGCCGACGAAACTCATTAATTAATTATTAATTCTATGATAATTGTTGATTGACGGAAATCAACGATTAAGATTTGGTGTTAAATTTTATATATTTATATATATATATATATATATATATATGGTAGGATTCTTTGGCACCAGTGTCAAATTTAAAGTTTGACATCTCATCGGAGAGCTGTTAGATCAAAAAAGATCAATGGTGTCACATACTTGCAAATCAAAGTCGTTGATCTTTTTTTATCTAACGACTCGTAGTGAGGTGTCAAACTTTAAATTTGACACCGATGTCAAAGGGTCATATCCCTATATATATATATATATATATATATATATATATATATATAGGATAGGATCCTTTGACACCAGTGTCAAATCTAAAGTTTGACACCTCATCTCAGAGCCGTTAGATCAAAAAAGATCAATGATATCACATGCTTACAAATCAGAGTCGTTGATCTAACGGCTCTCAGATGAGGTGTCAAACTTTAAATTTGACACCGGTGTCAAAGGATCCTGCCCCTATATATATATATATATATATATATATATATATATATATATATATATATAGGAGTAAACATTTATGCAACCACTTTAGATAAGCTTATCTACAGCTACTCTTTATAACTATGTTCTCCCGGGAGAACATAGTTATATCATTAAAAGTTATTTTTTTTATGTCCTTATTTACTTTTCAGAACCTGTCTGCTGACGTGGAGAGAGAAAAAAAAGCAACTTTAATGTTATAACTATGTTCTCCCGAGAGAACATAGTTATAAATGAGTAGTTGTAGATAAGCTTATCTAAAGTGGCTGCAGAAATATTTTTTTGCATATATATATATATTTGGGCTAACTTCAAATATTTTTTTGTATAGAGACCAAATTTAAAATGTGTAACATATAGAGGGAAAAAAAACATATTTTTACCTAGATTGAAATATGCATCATTTTACCTTTTAAAAATTGAGTTTATGTTAATCTTAATGAGTATAATAATTAATTTAATAATAAAAATTATTAAAAGACTAAAATAATAATTTAGCAAGAAAAATATTGTAAAAGAATTTATGTTCGAAAACTTGTTGCAATAGAATTGCTCATTAAGATTTCAAATTTCTTATATTTAGGTAATAGGCTCGCTTATCTATACCCATTGCATGGATATATAAATAAAACTGTTTAAATTTCTGTTTGATTAGAAAGCGTACTATATATTTTTTGTTTTGGAGCGTACTGTATTACTTCTACATGAACATCAATTTTATTTTTTATTTTTAAAAATTACTGCTACACAACAAAAGTAAAATGGTTCTTTAATAAATAAAATAAAATAAAAACGATTTTTTGTGTGTGGATGTAACCTATAAAGTCAACTTTACTCAATTACGGAAAAGTATAGTAGTTAGTAACATCAGAAAAGAACATACTACCTCACGTTGGGAATTGATTAAAGAAAAAAAAAAATAGTTTTAAATTATTGGGAATCACGTTTAGGAGAGAGATGGCTAGTCCATTTAGTTAGACCATCCTTCTGATAATCGAATTATTATCAAATGAAATTAAATTTTAATTCTTTTACGATACATCAATTTTAATGCAATTCTAGATTTTTGTGTGATTAAATTAAATAGAAAAAATAAAAAACAAAATTTAATAAATGTAAATGGATTAAAATTTAAAATGAAATAAATGTAAATTTCTCTTTACCGCACCTGAGCCTTGGGAGGACCCTCTTCCCCATATTGGTCGTATGTATAGAAAATCCAGAAAAAAGAAGAAGTAAGCATTGTTATGAGAATTTATATGACATACAAATTTACATAACCATTTAATATATGATAATAATGTACTAAATATTAATAACTACTTTAATTTATACAAACATGCATAAACATACAAGAATTTTTCGCAGAACATACGAAATCTGATTAGTCATTTTCGTAAACTCAATCAAATCCAATTCTATACTTTTGACTAGGGCTGCACAAAATAACTGGTTCACTTGCCTCGTTCTTGATCTGACCTTGACCTAACTCATAAATATTTTTTTTTTTTTGAATTGGATTTAATACTGACCCACTTTATTTGGGTCAGGTTTTAGACCTGACTCATTTAATAATTAATCCATTGACCCAAAACTTGACCCATACCCATTATGTGAAAAAAAAATCACAATTGCATTAAAAGAAAAGTTTTAAGTAAAACAATTACGTCAAAATTTTTTATGGAAAATATTTCCACAAAAAATTTTTACAAAAATTTTTGACAAAAAATATTTTCATCGATATTTGTGACTAAAAACATTTCCGTAAAAAAACTCTGACGGAATATTTTTTTGTCAATTTTTTTTACGGAATCTAAATTTCGTCAAAATATTTCACAAAAAAATATATTCATCAAAAATTTCGACGAAACACATTTCCATCGAAATTTTTTGACCGAAAAAAATTTCATCAAAATTCTTTACAGATTTCAAATTTCGGCGAAAGTTTTTGACGAAAATATTTTCGTTAAACTTTTTGACAAAAAAAATTTCGTCGAAATTTTTATCGAAACACATTTCTATCGAAAATTTTCGACTAAATATTTTCGTCAAGTTTTTTGATAAAAAATATTTCCATCAAAATTTTCAACGGAACACATTACTGTAAAAAAATTCGTAAAAATTTTTGACAAAAAATATTTTGATAAAAAATTTTGACAGGAAAAATATTCTGTCAAAATTCTTTAGAGAATTTAAATTTCGTCGAAAGTTTCGAATGAAACATTTCCCTCAACACAATTTCCATCGAAAATTTCGACGAAACACATTTCCATCAAAAAAATTTGACGGAAAAAAATTTCATCAAATTTTTTTACAAATTTCAAATTTCGGTGCAAGTTTTCGACGGAAAAAATTTCGATAAAATTTTTGACAAAAAAAAAATTGATCAAAATTTTTAGCGAAACACATTTCCATCGAAAATTTTCAATTAAATATTTTCGTCAAGTTTTTTGATAAAAAATATTTCCATCAAAATTTTCAACGGAACACATTTCTGTAAAAAAATTTAGTAAAAATTTTTAACAAAAAATTTTTCAATAAAAAATTTTGACGGAAAAAATATTATGTCAAAATTCTTTAGAGAATCTAAATTTCGTCGAAAGTTTCAAATGAAACATTTCCCTCGAAACAACTTCCGTCGAAATTTTCGTCAGAACACATTCCCGTCGAAATTTTGAACGAAAAATATTCCGTCAAAATTTTTTACAGAATTCTTTTTTCGTTTAAAATATTTGATGGAATAAATCATTTTCCTCAAAACTTTTGACAGAAACTAAATTTCGATCGAAAATTTATTTTTGTAAAATTTTCATTAGGGAAAAAATTTCGTCGCTTTTCGACAAAAAATATTTCGACGAAAAAATAATGTTGTGACGATATTTTTGTCATTTGCAACGTAGAAATTTTGACAAAATTTTGTGAGGAAATCAAGTCAAAAACGGGTCAGGTTAGATTTGACCCATTTCAGAAACCAAGTCAGGCCAGATCTGATCCAGTTCTGAACTAGTTCAACAAAATACAAACCAAGTCAAACCTGACTTGGATCAAATTAAAGCGGGTCGGGTCCAAATACCTGACCTATAAAAACCAAGTTGAGTCGAGTCAGACAAAAACCTGACCCGACCTGACCCATGCACAGCCCTACTTTTGACTCGTTTTTCTGATGTTTATACGTGCTGAAGTGTTACTGGACATAGGATAAGCACAAAGAAAACGACGAGTGTGTTTTACTGCATTAGTTTGGCGGTAACGACACTGTAGCGCTGACGTGACATGAGTTCCGTCAGTATTATTGACGGGATTAGTTCTGTCAGTATAAGTGACATATTTAACTGTATTAATTTAAAAGAAAATTATTTTCTCATGTTGTTGGAGATTGTTTTCTCATGTTGTGAGGTATCAAAATCCGTGCTATCTTTTTTTTAATTTTTATTTTTTTAACACGTGGTGGGACCTACCACTTATTGTGTCTATAACATTTATAAGAGATATTATCTCATGTGACATGAGAAAAAAGAACCCTTAATTTAAAATAACTTATCCAATCAATTTTAAGTGAATAATTCTTTTATAAAAAAATTTAAAATGGTGTTTTCTCCTCTAATTTCAAAGTAAAACACAACCATTAGAAGTACACTTGTCACATGAACTACATCTTCTTCTTTTTTCTTTCAGATTCGATGACGTGCCCCTGGGGACAACTTTCGTTTTCATATTCCATGATATTGCTTTATTCTTTTTTTTTCTCCTTTAAAAAAAGTCTTGGTAGTATTATAAATATAAACTTAAGCGATTATCGCATACAAAGATACTAAAAATAAACACTTGCGAAAAAAATAGAAGTTCTGTTTTTAAAAACACAAAACAAAACTGTTACGTTTTTTATAATGATTGTTTGGAAAATTTTCTTAAACTTCTAATTCGTGAAAGTGTATTTATACGTTTATTAAATGAATAATTTTATACGTGTCAACAGGTGAAAGGATGAGGCATGGGGAAAAAGATGAAAGGCAGGTGAAGTTAACAAATTGCAGCTTCTCCTTGGAAAAGAAGCTTTGGCTTTGAGTTAAGTAGGGGGGGACAGGGACAGACCTCATGGCGGTGCTGTAGTTGGTTGGTTCAATAACCTTAAACATATAACTGCAAAACACACAAACCAACCTTAGATTCTTCTCTAACCATTATCACATGAAAAAACAGCATTCGAACAGATATTCATATCTCTCTGTGTGAGGAGCTGTTTGTCGCCAACTTTAAATTATTTAGTTGCCCAATTAACACTTTCATCGTCATATGCTAAAAAGCTTCAAACTTTAAAGCTAAGGAAAAAGAAAGATTAAAAAATTAAAAAAGAAGAAAAAAAGAAAAGCACACTGGGAAAGAAGAAAGCAGCGAGAAAAAATTGATCTTGGGTTTTGGGTGGAAATTGAAATGGTGAAGCTAGTTAGGGTTTATCAGTGCATCCTCGGCTTCTTCCTCGTGATCTCTGTCTTTGCATCCATCTATCCAGGTACACTTTTTTTTTCTATAATTATTTTTAATTTTCACTCTGTTGAGTGTGTTTTACCTTGCCCATAAATCATAATAACAAGTTTGGTTTTAAGATTTTTGTTCTTATGGCTTTGATTTGTATTAATTTAGATCTGATCATTTGGCTTCAGGACATAAAGATTTTAATTTTTGTTTTTTTTCCTCAATTCTATTTGTTTTTTTTTTAAACTAGCATTGGAATTGAGTGAAGTGCTAAATTATCTGGCCTTGAATTTTTTCCTGTTGCAGGTCTTTCATGACATACTAGTAGTTCAGAGTTTGGTTGGTGGCATAAGAGTTTGACGCCGGCATTTATTTTAGCACTTCCCTTCTGCTTATTGTACAACATGTAAGTTTCATCTTTTCCTGAGGTCAATTTAATTGTCTTATGGTGCAAGATGATTTTTATATAGGACAAATTACGAGTCTTGTGATATCTACTTTTCCCTATGTTTTGAATCAAATTACCTTTCACTTTCCCAGAGAAATTATATATAATGGTTAACAGTCTAATACAATATAAAACCCAAGTTCTGATTTATACTTCAATATGTTAAAAAAAATGAGTCTATATTCTATAGTGCCATTCATGCAAGTGCTAAAATGTTTATTCCCATTTTGGTATTCAACTTGGATTAATTATTATTTAAGGTTGTATTTTTTTTTTTCAGTTATTCATATATGTGTATCATCCAAACCTTTATTTTACAGTAGCCTTTTTCTGCAAACCTTCGTAAGGCTCCCTCTCTGTTTGTTTCTAGTTAGGGAAAATTGATAAACCACCTAATTTAATTTTAGTTGATATTTAAGTACTTGTTCAGCATTTGCTTCCTTGTCTGAAATATCTTTTAATTTTTTATTTTCTTTTTAATTATTATATTTTTACGTAGAAAAAGATGGCAGCTGAGCTAGTCAATGCTGCAACGAGTGAGAAACTGGCTGAAACTGATTGGATGAAAAATATTGAAATCTGTGAATTGGTTGCTCATGATAAAAGGTACCCCATTAAGCTTTCCTCTCCTTACATCGTGTTGTTTCTTTCTATTTGATCATTGATCAATGCCCTAAAACATGATGAAACTAAACTCATTTAATTGTTTTTTTTTTTTTGCCATATAATTCTTATCTTAGATTTTACTTATGGCACTTTATGTTTTTGTATTTCTTTTTGATTTGGGAATCAAATCTATTATCTCCACCCGAAGCCCATCACTACTAGTCTTGAACTATGCCCAATTGACTAATTGTGTATTTCTTTATTATTGGAAGATAAACCTCGTTAATGATAAATTTTTTCTCATGCCGAATTTGATTTTAACTGCATTTTCTGTATTTGTCATGCCAAATTTTTATGTCTTGCTAAATTGTGTGTTTCTTTTTCATTTTAATTGCACTATCTGTATTTGTCAATTTGGTTTATTTTTCAGAAGGATACATCAGAAGCCTTTGGTAATTAGTAAACAACTGCTATTTGTTGCTAACATAAGTTGCAATTCAGCTTATGTTAATCATGGTACTTGTTTCTTTTTGAATATTCAGGCAAGCTAGAGATGCTGTTAAAGCTATAAAAAAAAGGCTGGGTAACAAGAACCCCAATACTCAACTTTATGCAGTCATGGTAAGTATGATGACCTTATTATGAATTTGTTTGTTTTTAATTTTTAATTTGAATTTTCTATATCGTTTTACCTATACCCACAACTTATATGAAGACAGTTTGGTACCACATAGTTTTCACTATACCTGAAACAGAAAAGATTAGTTATTTGACTTTCTTTTCTTGAATATTTTCATTGTTTGCTTGTACTATGGTTTTCTACTAACTCATATTCTATCTGTTGATTTTTCTAGTTGCTGGAAATGTTGATGAACAATATTGGAGATCATATTCATGAGCTGGTGATTGATACAGGAATTATTCCCATTCTTGTGAAAATTGTGAAGAAAAAGGTGAGTTTTTCTCGACACAGACTATTGCCCTTTTGCAATTTTAGTTTTTCCTTAATCTCTCACTCTCTCTCTCTCTCTGGCTTTTTATTTGCATGCAGTCAGATTTACCTGTAAGGGAGCGGATATTTCTCCTACTAGATGCCACACAAACATCCCTTGGTGGTGCTTCTGGAAAGTTTCCACAGTATTATAATGCATATTATGATTTGGTGGTAGGTACTCTTATGTGAAGTAGAACCCTGTGATTTTCTTATGTTTCTGATCTAGATTATTTGATTAATAAGTGGCAGCAGCTTGACTATTGTATTAGCAGAGTATGAAAGAAGTGAAAATGTTTAAGCTTTATGATTTTTAAAATCTAATGGATAATATGTAAGGTTTTTTGTATTTTCTAGATGAATCATAAATAGAAGAAGCTGTAATAGCACACACTATTCTTTGGTTCTTTTTTGAACAGGACAGTTGGTGCTAACTTGGTATGCTAGGTTGTATGGTAGTTGCTATTTTGGGTTTTATGGGGTGCAGTTGTGATGGTTGTGTGGGAAAATTGTGCTAAGAGGTAAGAATGATGCTTGGGTAGTTGACAGAAAATGGTGGTATTTACCTTTGAGCCCGTGGCTGGTCTGCAAATATGATGAGTATCAGGCATTGAATCTCTCTCTTTTTACTAATAAAACTTCTGTTAACATATTTTCTACCTGAATTATAGACAATCATGAGTTTCCTATTCCCCTTGTATATGATTCGAGTGATCATATGGAAACACTTTTTTGTCAATACTGGTTCATTATTTGTCTACTGAATGCCAATGCTAAATTGTGTTTTGCATTTTACAGAATGCTGGGGTGCAGTTTCCTCAAAGGGCTCAAGCGGTCCAATCAAATCGTCCTAATCCGCAGCCTAATAGGACTAATAATGTACTGAATAGGGAGCAAGACCCGCCTAGACATGGAGGGGCTGCTCAGCAAGCAGAGACCGAGACTGTTCCTGAATCTAGGTTACTTGTACTTTTCAGTTTTTGTATACTCGTAGGTAGACAGCGACTTTAGAAATCCCTTTGAGTGGCAATCACATTTTCACTTCACTTAATAGGAATCTCATTGTTACTTTTAGATTATTAAAATGATATTTAGAAACCCTTCTCTAACTGGACGTATTGAGAAGGATTTATTATGATAAGAATTACCATTATTATTTTTTATCTTGGGGATAGAAACTGGGATAAGAAGATTTATCCAAATACAGTAGTTTTTTTCAATTAAATGAAACGATGAAAAGATGTAAGTTTGAAAATCTATTTTTGGTTAGATGCTTTTTCTCTGCCCCCTCTTTTTTTTTTTGATAAATTCAGAAGCATGGATGATTCTTGATCTGGAGAACTCTTCACTGATCTGGTGGAGAAATATCATTCTAAAAATATTTATTCTTGTCATCATCTTCATCTAGCTAAGAATATCTCTATTCTGCAATTGTGTTTTGCAGCATTATTCAAAAAGCTAGTAATGCATTAGAAGTTCTAAAAGAAGTTCTTGATGCTGTTGATGCCCAACATCCTCAGGTGAGCCAAGGATCTATAATACTGAAACCTGAATTCCGCATTCCAAAAATATGACCTGCACTTTATCTTGATTCATACTGCATCTACCTTTACATTGACTTGTGCTTGATGTCAATAGGGAGGAATTGACTAAATGACCATGATGTTCTTTAAATAGTTTTTATCTTGTGAACTTAATATGGTAATAACCTGAGATGTACTCATGAAACATGTAAATAACCACATTCCACCTTTTGCTGAAACTATGTTATTTCTTTTATAGGGAGCAAGAGATGAATTCACCCTTGACCTTGTTGAACAATGTTCATTTCAGAAGCAAAGGGTAATGCATCTTGTGATGGCTTCTCGGTAAGGCTGCTTTAAATTTTTCTTTTATGCTAAAAGCATATATGATTTCTCTTTCTCATTTCTAGACATGAAATGTTCAGAGAATGGATTGTTATGCCTTTTCTTCTTGTCTGTTGGTATCTCAAAGATTTTTCTTTCGTACTTCATCCTTTATATGTTAATAATTCTTTTTTTCTTTTTTTTTGGTAAGCGATATGTTAATAATTCATCTGCAGCAGAGTATTGTTATTGAGCCAAGAAAAGCATGATTTTTGGTTTTTAAAATATTGCTTCTTGTTATTTTCTAAGATGTAAGAAAAATCTTAAATGAAAATGTCATATACTTTTTCAATTAATATATGATATAATGGAAAAAAATGATACATTAGTTTAGGGAAATTTAAGTTAGTATATGGCTACTGATTAATCATTATTTGAATGTAACTAGTAGTTGAGTGGTTAATTGTTCTTAAACTAAGAATATTTTTATGAAAATTTGTTCTTGAAAATTTCCCTAATATTTATGTATTTGTACGTGCATGCATCTATTCTATGGTTAATTTGTAGCTTCAATTGCTTTTTCTTTGGTTGTTGCAGAGATGAGAGGATAGTTTCTCGAGCAATCGAATTAAATGAGCAGCTTCAGAAAGTTCTTACAAGACATGATGACCTTCTTTGTGGCAGAGCTACAACAACAACTGCTAATCACCTTGGCCATGAAGCAGAGGAGGAAGAAGAAGAAGAACCTGAACAGTTATTCCGAAGGTTCCTTGCCTTCTCTTGAACATGCTAAATTTTTTCCATTTTTATGAAGGATGAAACTTGATCTTGAATATTCACTCCCTTATCGCTTTGTTTATTTTACCCAATGAAAGAACTTTTGATTACTAACAATCTAGTGTTAATGCGAGTTAACACTAGATTACGCAAAGTGGATCTTGAATATTCATTCATCTCTGAATGACTAATAATGCCTTGCAGATTACGCAAAGGAAAAGCTTGTGCAAGAGCTGAAGATGAAGAGACTGAAACTGAGATCCCTCACTTGGGATTGCTTGAAGAGAGACTCAACCGTCCACTAATAAGACCACTCTCTTTGGAGCCTCATCATCATCATGCAGCTGCTGCAATTCCTCTTCCTCCAAGTGCAAAACAGAATGGGGAGGTTCTTCATGTGGCAATTCCACCACCACCTGCAAAGCACATTGAGAGGGAGAGATATTTTCAGGAAAATAAGAAGGATGGTAATACTTTGGCTGGCCACATTAGAGGCCTTTCCTTACATAGTCACAATGGAAGCAGCTCTCACAGTGGAAGCTTTGATTTTAGTGAATAGATTTCTTTCACAAAAGGACCTCTTTTTGCCTTTCAAATTTGGTGTTCGGAATTAAAGTATGTTACATGTTGTTGATTTTTCATTTAGTCCTTTTTTTGTTTTTTTGTTTTTGTGTGTTTTGGGGGTAGGGACTTGTACATCTTACTCAGTTCGTAAAATGCATGTAATCAAGGAGCTTTATGGGATCATATGCCATAACCTGAGGTTTTGTACGTTCCAGCCTTACAGGTGCAAGTGTGATACTGATAATGCTTTTTCTTTTGTAATTTGTAGGGAATGATTATATGTTCTTAACTCCACTTAAAAGTTTGTTTTTGTGCAGGGGAGAGGTGATTGTGTATTATTTACGAAGTGTGAAAATGAATTGAAACACAGTGATGTGATAGAAATGTGTGGATTAGCTAAGTTAATAAATATTTTAAGGTGACTCAATGCTAGCTAAACCGCTGTGAACTGGACTAGCTTGTTTGTATAAAAATTATCAAAATTAACTTTTATTATTATTATTATTGAGTTTTTCTTTTTAAATTTTTTGAATGTTATTTTAAAATAACATTCATTTATTTCAAGTAATGATTGATTTTAAAAGTTTTAATAGAAGTTATTCAAGTCTTTTGATATAATTTTATCATACAAGTTACTTGAAATTAATATTTTAAAAATATAAGAGTATATATAGAAAAAAAAAATATAGGTTGATTCTAATAGAGCATAGTTGATATAAAATCAGAAAAGATCATTTTTAAAACCTAAACAGTAATTGTCCTGAACTCCTGATCTAGCCCAATCCACTAAAGTTAACCTAATTGACACCTTATAAATAGTAACTCAAACGCAATTTTATCAATAAATATTTTGATACTAACTGCAAATATTATTTTAACAATGTACGAGTATGTAATGTATGAACAAAATACTCATAAATTCAAATGTTGGCAAGGGATGTTGTGGTGCAAAAACTCAAGTTGCTATACACATGAAATTCTTTCGATCTTTCATATTTTAATGCGAATACATCTAATAATTAAGAGATTATGTTATTGCACCATGTGAAAACACAAACCAAGGACATCGTGTTACAAAATAAGGCTACTTCCAGAACTAGCAACAGTTGCTTACATTAACTAACCACAATTGGTTACATACTTACTTCCAAATGCAAATAGTAGTAGAAATAGGATTATTCTGTAACTGGAATACAATTAAAATCAGTCACATAACTCGTCTAAACCAATACTCTTTTCAAATCTTCCCTTTTTTTCCCCCTCAACACTAGATTGAGAACCAAACCATGCCTTTCTTTTCAAATCTTACCTTTAGATAAATACAAGAGGTACACTGCGTTGTATACAAACCAAACCAGTATACATTATCTTCCTCTCGTTTCCATAAACAACTGCAGTGTCAAAACTTAATTGAGAACTCCCGAGTGCATGCCTTGGACTTTAAGGTGCATATGTGATGCTAATGGTATGCATATACAAGCAAAACTAAATTCCATTGAGGACAATGGAGGACTTATTCACCGAAATAAGGGCAATATTCCCCACTGGTGCAGAAATCCCTCACCAGTGGTGACTTCTAAAAACAACAGAAGAAGCACAGCAAGCATAGCTGCTCTTCCATTCCAAGTTTCAGCACTTTTTGTCCACCCCCATTGCCACACCATTACTGGTGGTGGCAACTCCCTACGGTGTGAATCATATGCTGCCAATAACTCTTCTACACTGCCCAAGGGAACCAGAGACTGCCAAAGAGCCAAAACTTTCTATTAGATCAGATACTGCAAGCATGCAACTACAAATGCAACATCACATGAATCTATATGGCTCAATAGTTTGCTGAAATGGAAAATGCGTGTGTCTATGTTTCGACAAGAAATCAACAGAGAACATCGAATAAAATGTTTCTTACTAGGATACAAAAATGTAAATATGAGAGTTGAGAAGAGTACCTGGCGAGCTTCAAGGTTTGAAACTGCCATTGCACCAACATATGGGAGACTTTCAATTACGGCATCTGCCAAATCTGAAATGAAGGTGGGCTCACATCCTAGAGCAGGAACACGACCCCATTTTTCTATACCGGATTTTAGAGCCAATTCTTTGTATTCAACATCAATTTCTTCTAATGTTTCTATATGCTCACTGACAAAGCTGTGAATCAAGTAAAAGGTTAAATAAAAGATTGAAAAAAAAAGAACATCCTGGTGCTATAAGCTCCCGCTATGCGCAGGGTTCAGGGAAGTATCAGGCCTGGTGCCACAAAGTTAAACAAAACATTAATGTTACTTAACTCTGTCCAGGTTTAAGACAGGCAGAGAGGAAATGAAAGGTGGCAACTATAAAAATAGTGCTAAAACAATAAATCACATAAATAAAGAAGGCTGAAGTTACCTAATCGGTACAGCCAGCAGACTTTTTACTCCCTTTTTCCCAAGTTCAATTATTGTGTAATCTGTATAGGGTTTTAACCATTCGACAGGTCCGACTCTACTCTGTAACAAGAATTATAGTCAATTGTTAGAAATTGGAAAAAGGATGTATCTAAAAGCAGTAGTCATGCTTGGCTGTAGGAAAAGATTGGTACAGATTAATTGTGTAGAGACAAGTCATCTTCACCACCTATTGACCTTGATGAGTAATCTAGTCTTCAGCAAAGAAATTAGGTCCTTCATCTGGATATGCTTCCACATTCCATCATGTATTACATGCCTTATGTGCCTTACATGCTTTATCTTGTGACTTAGTTATTTTTCAAGTGGATTCACCATAACGCTACATTGTCTAGAGCTCATGACCAAAAGGGTAAGATGTTTGGCCTTTGATATTGATGATTATCGCGGGGTTCCCCGAGACCTTTATAAAAGAGGTATTTTTCTTTGCAAAGAGATTTCTTTATGTAAATGACAGGTGCATCACATGAACTGTTCAGAATATTATTGCATAGTTTATCATTCATTTTTAAAGAGAAATTCCAGTTATGACTTTGGTAAGGACTATACTGGCAGGTTTATACTTTATACATAATCTAAAAAGAAATCTTGCTCTAGATCTAGTTTAGATACTTAACTTTCTTGCGCAAGAAAATTCCCATCATTGATAGGAATGTTCACTTCTGGAAAGAAGTTAGTATACCTTATACCACATACTAGGATAAGCCTCACTACTTATGCATTTTTTTTTTTAAATAGAAATCAATATCATGTGTAAACACTTTGAAACTAGAAAACCAGGATAATTATTTTATTTTTAAAAAAAGTAGTTACCTGATAAGCAAGGGTGTATGCATTATTTATCTTTCTTTTCTCAAGCTCTTCCATGATCAAATCCACACATTCCTCCATCTCTGCCTTGTATGGATCACCAGCCTCTTCCACATAAGCAAGAGGCACCCCATGTGCACTAAAGAAGATCATGACCTGCAATGTGCATCGGTTACAAGGGCTAACAACAAATATTTGCAATAAAGTGACGCCCAAGATCAAGCTGAAGAGGAACTCGAGTTCAGGAAAATTTCATTGGCAATGCCAAAATAAGATAAAATAGAATAGCTAAAGTTGTTGATAGAAAAATATTGATAAAAAATGCCATTTCACAATCTCCCAGATGCCATTTAAGTTAAGTTGGGTAAGTTACTTACTCTCATAATCCGTTATCCTAACCAGAAATAACTAATATGTTCACTATATATATTATGCTATCAACATTTGAAGTATAAGTATGACAGTGAGAAGATAAAAATGTCTACGAACCACAATTTTTCAAAGTCATTTAAACATAAAATGACGGGGTACCTCCTCAGGGCAGTCAAAACCTTTTAGTTCTTTTTCAATTAAATTTGCCATGGCCTTTATGTATCCTTCACGTTGGTACCACGAAGGTATCACTGTGTGCTGCATGTTGACTAGATACTCATCCTCTCTGAAGAAACAATAATTAATTCATAACAGAATGTTAGATAATATCTTGAAGTAACATGATGTGATAACAGTATATTTTTATAGTAATCACCGGAATATACTCTCCAACAGACGCAGACTTGAACCACTGGTTGATATTGAAAATTGTGGATAAAGTGGAAGCACAACAAGCTTTGTAATTCCATCCCTTTTAATCTACATGATATATTTCAAAGGGAAAATTAATTATAACCAGATTGAGAGTAAATCACAAAGACAAATGACAAATGTTATGAACACATATGAATGGTTTTACATTAAATATCTAACATGTGATTAAGACACTAATATTAATAATGCGAACCAAAAAAAAATGTTTACATAAATATATTAAAATAATAAAAACGAAAAAGATAAATTGACATTTTGGTCAATTATATTCTCCCATTTACTCACAGCAAGTTCCTTATTTTTGTAAATTTTCACTATCTTCTCATTTACCCTCTCCACCATCCCACTTCTGTATATCTTTTTTAGGTTAATTTTTCAGAATCTTTTTCCATGAACACATTAGATTGTGCCTGCTAGAGTGTAGTGCAAATAGACCAAATTATTTCAAACTAACATGTATCAGTCTGAATCAAAATTAAGTTTAGATCTCAGATATAGGATACCAGCCAAGAAGTATCTGAATAAGGAGAAAAGGCAGTGGCTGCATGCAAGCCACCCATTCATGCAGATTATATGTTTTCCAAACAGTAACAAATGCATATTTGCGTATATTTATAAACAACTATTCAGATGATATCATGTTGAAACTTGTAAAATAAGTCTCTATCAGTGGCATAATCTTAATCAAATGCTATTCAATATCACATTGTAATCAAAGAACAAGATGATCAAATACCTGTTCAATAGCTTCTTCGGTGAACGGATGCCAGTAACGCATGCCAACGTACACTTTGGCTGGGACATTCTTTGCCCAAAGAGATTTCTTCAACTCTTCAGCCTGTGTAGGGAATCATCAAAAGAGCTTGAACAATAAAAGAGCTTAAAAAAAAAAAAAGCATTTAATGGAGTGGACATGCTATGTATCCCATACCACAGCATTAGAAAGTATTTTAAAAACATCAGAGAAAAATATGACATAAGTCAATTGCAAAATCTCAATGGACTAGTGAAAACTTCTAACTTTGGCTTGAAAAGATTTGGTAAAATATTGATTAAACGAATGACAAGAAGACAACATAAAATTCACAACATGGTAATTTTGAATTCCCGATGAAAAGAATATTTCTGAATGCCAAAAACAGTTCTAACTTATATTGGTCAGAATAATTGTAATACAAACGATGATAACTTCTACAAAGGGGTCCACAATTTTTTGCCATCAACCATTGTGCTTTTCTTTCACTTTCTAAAACTTAAAAATTGCCACAAGAGATCAATTACATACATTCTGTACACAAACAGAGCTCAGAACCACTCTTGCTCATATCTGATAAATTGAAAATTCAAGTCTCCAATGCACTATCTAACAAGTTGAAAGTGAAATATATGTAATAATGTATAAAAAAAAGTTTTCAGGAAGTGTCATGCCTGTGCATCAGTTATACGTCTAAGAGGAGATCCACCACCAATTGAAGCATAACCTTCTTTGCTCTTTGGTGCTCTTAAAACAGAAACAAATTGGGCCAGCGGCTTTTGAAGAAAACTAAATAGCCTTGGTAATCTTATGATATCCTGCATAATTGTACAGAAAATATAACTAGTCATCAAAGAATAAGAAATTCAAACTTTGTCTTATAATCCTGCATAATTGTACAAAAGATATAACTAACAATCAAAAATAAGAAATTGAAACTTTTAGTTCATCTCAACATAAAGGAATAGTGATAAAGACATTTAGCTCAGATAAATAGTGTGTTAAAGCTAGAGTATTACTGGGTCAGCAAAAAGGTTAAACAAAAAAGGCTGCACATCTTCTAGGGTTTCTGGACCTCCAAGATTTAACAATAACACTCCAATCTTATCATCACCAATAAAAGGTGTGTCAGAAACATCTTGAGCTGTTGAAGTTACTAAAGCTTCCACCGGCAACAAGTTCCTTTTGAGTGATTGCTTGGACCATCTTGCAGTACATCTGCCCACTATATAATTTTTCAAGGGATTAGGGTTAGTAGAAGCCTCCACATGGCCTCCAGAGCAGCGATACATCTTTTGAGAGGTAGAAATTGCCTGTGGCAACAGCCTATGAAAATAAAGAATATTAAAAGCATCGAAAAATTCTGCTAACATTTAGTAATAAAATAATCGCAATACAAGAAAAACACAATTTAACATGAGGATAAAGTTAAAGTGTATTTTTGGCATTTAGATGAAACTGAAAATATCAAAATGAAATTCATATCTTAGCATACCACACATGCTAATCTAGAAAGCCAAGACAAGTTGGCCTTGGATGAACAATGAGAAAGAAATTATGGATGAAACTATAGCACTTCACAGCTTCAAGAAGACAGGGAACAAAGTGGAACACAAGTTTAAAATCATAACCAGTTGACCACTTAAAATGCAGAATTTATGGTCACTGATAATTTGAGTAAACTTCAGAGGGAGCAAATAGTACTTAAAATATTATAACTCCTGGTTATTATAAAACAAAGTTGGAATTGGATACAACAGAATCCTTGCATGTTTTTAAAATATAGCAATAGTTATTTTGAAATAGCAGTCCTACAATGCCAACAATTCAAAACTAAAGAAATATCTCATTCTAAAATTCAAACATTGTCATAAACACTACAAATACCATATAAGCAATGCACCATAACCTTAAAGAACTACATATCAGACCATGGAATGCAACTTTCAACCCCATTAATCCCATTATATAATGAAAAAACATTTACTCGCATGATCAACACCCAAAAAGCCATCTTATAAATTATAATAGCCAGGGCCACTAATTCAAATTTTAGAATGTGGTGTTTCTGGTGAAATGTCTCCATCTTCAAATCCAACAACTAAACTACAACAAAAAATGAGAAATACAATTGAATTATAAAAAAAATAAAAAAATAAAAATAGTTACTGAAAAACTCAAGACACAGAATAACTGGTAAAAGGAACCCTTACAGAGGAAACTTGGAATTACGAGAAGCATAAGGGAGGCAAGGAGGAGGACGGGTATAGGAGCAAGAAGAAGAGGAAGGCGGTGAAGGGGCATGAATTGGAGAATTCATAGCTTGATGATTAAAAAAAAAACAGCACTTTCACCACTTGCTTGTCCTTCTGTTACTGCATAAATGAATGTTTGAGCTCTTAGCAACAAAACTCAAGGCTCAAAAAATCAAGCCCAGAAATTAACTTAAGGAAAAGGAATAAACTTTACCAAATTCCCACAAATTGGGAAGAGAATGAGCTACCACTAAGCAGAAGGTGAACTGTGAATGAAGACCATGTAGATTTCCTTTCTTTCTTTCTTTCTTTCTTTTTTTTTTCTTTTTTTCTTATTGGACGAGTTTGGATGCAAAATGTTGAAAAATGTTATAAATGCTCAAAAACCCTTTGCATCTGAAATCTGAATGCAGAGAGAGACCCTTGAGGTTGAGAGTGACTGGTGAAACTGAAAAAAATCCCAACCACCTCTTCTTCCCTTTTTGTTTATCATCTCATCTCCAAAAATTACCATTTTCCAGGATTATCTTTCTCTACTTATCATTATATGGATAAGTATGTTCAAAAAAATTTAAATGTTTGATGGCTATACCTTTATTTGGCCTTATTTGTTTTAATTACTTTTTTGTTTTTTTTACCTGATCTGGTATTTTTTCTAAATATCTTAAAAAATAAACTGATAAAAAAAAATATAAATGAAATTATATGTAGGCAATTTCTGAGTTATCCACTAGGAGGTGGTAGGTGCTTGTACCCATCAGTAATAAAGGGTATATGTATTTTTAATAACTTATTTTCAAATCAATGATGGATGATTCATGAAATCGGTGAAGTTACTTTGAATTGTTGAATAAGAATCAAATATTCACTTCGACTATGGATGAATTGTTTTTCTACTTTTTTTAAGAAAAAAATCACTTCTCGAAAAAAGTCTGTTTGTATGTCTGCTTTTAAAAAAACAGAAACCATAAAAAAAGCTAAAAATTTATTTTTTTCTAAAGTTAAAAATTTTAGCTTCTCAAAAAAGTAGAAGTCAAAAGTCAAATATTTTTTTCAAAAATCATATATTTTTTTAAAAAATTTAAATAGTGATAGCTTTTATAAAAAGTACTTTTAAAATAAGAAAATGATAAAAAGAACTTTTTTAAAAAGTGGATACAAACCCAGCTTATTTTTTAAAAGGACTTATGAAAACAAAATTGTGACTAACAAATAAGTTTTTTTTTTTTTTTGGATATACTCTTCATTCAACCTTCTGGTGATCTTGTCTTCGGAGTATATCCCAAAATACTATCTTTTTATTGGAATAACCCGTGTATTGGATTATGTCACTAGAAGAAGAATGAGACTAATCCTTACTCGAGGAGAGAGGCAAGTCCTCTGCTCTCGCTACCTTGTCCACCGGCCAAAGTATTTCCATTCAATCGCTTCCGACCACCTTATTCTCAGAATACAGTCGCAAAAACTACCTCCTTGTTCGAAGAGTGGATGCTAAATTATGCCATCAGAAAAAAAAAAAAAAAAAAAAAGACTATTTCTCTCTCTCAGAAAGAGATACATCCTCTCTCCCCAAAATATTTTCAGGAAATTGCATGATACATGCTTTTGTATCTTGAATCATACAACCACTTAGGAGCTCAGTTGGCTAAGGTTGGGTTCCCTAACAAGCTTTTTTATATGTAACATAATCGAGCATGCAGTAATGTTTATGGTTGGGAGAGGAGCAAGGAATTAAATTCTATAGAGGGAGTGCGGTGTGCCATGTGAGACGTGTATCATACTGGGTATTTTTTCAAACCTTCATAAAAATATAGACTTGGAAATGAATATTTCCTTATTTAGTATAAGTTTTAAAATTTAATTCCTGAACAAGTTACTCTCAATATATATATATATATATATATATATATATATATATATATATATGGGGTAAACATTTCTGCAGCCACTTTAGATAAGCTTATCTACAACTACCGCGTTTATAACAATGTTCTCCCGGGAGAACATAGTTATAACATTAAAATTATTTTTTTTTTCTCTCTCCACGTCAGCAGACAGGTTCTGAAAAGTAAATGAGGAGGAAAAAAAAAAAACAACTTTTAATATTATAACTATGTTCTCCCGGGAGAACATAGTTATAAACGATAGCTGTAGATAAACTTATCTAAAGTAGCTGTAGAAATACTTTTACCTATATATATATGTGTGTGTGAGGTAGGATCCTTTGACACCAGTGTCAAATTTCAAATTTGACACCTCATCTGAGAACCGTTAGATCAAAAAAGATCAACGACTCTGATTTGCAAGTATGTGACACCATTGATCTTTTTTTATCTAACGGCTATCAGATGATGTGTCAAATTTCAAATTTGACACCGGTGTCAAAGGATCCTACCTCTATATATATATATATATATATATATATATATATATATATATTCTCATGTTTTGGTAAATTTTCATTCTGATAAGAGGGAGTTGGGAATATGTATTTCCATGTCTTGGGAATAAAAAAATTTGTGCAAAACTCCTAAAAAAAACACGGTAATTTGTCGAGCAAGAAATAGTACTGCACAATCTAATAATTCCACTTTTATTGGATCTCTCCCATGTGACCTGTGGCCATATCTTGGTCCCAGCTTGGAATGAATGACCTAGGTCTTCTATTATAATATTGCTGTATCTCCCTGGAGAAATTGGCCATTCCTTCTTATTAACTACGTGCTCCAAATAAAAAGAAGCATTTTGAGCTTAACTATCCTGTTATAACTGGGAAGGGTAATTTAGAATGTTATCAGATAACAACTGTTCTCATAGTCCAAGGTGATCAAGGTAGTACATTACATGAATATTACTATTAGTTATACTGCCTCGTTGGTTTATAGTACTTGTTATAAATTATAATACACATAAATAGGTGACTTCTAACATAAAAAAAAAAAAAAATACTTAAAACAAGTACACAAGAATTAGACTGCTTAATTGACTTGAAATTCTCCACTTGCATGAACCTCTTTGACCCTCTTGTCATACTCATCTTCTTCATCCTCCTCTTCCTCCACCTCTGCATCCACATCTTCTTCCCCTTCATCTTCTTCTCCTTCCCACCCAAAACCTTTCACAGGCCTAGCTACTGGAGGAGGGTCTCTTGCCTCCCCCACAATTTTCATTATCTCCTCCACACTTTGAACAGAAAAGCTTGGGTTTCCGCCTCTCTGGTAATAGATAGCTTGAGCTGATTCAGTTAGCTCCCTTGGAAGATTCTTTAAAAACCATGGGTGGTTCTTAATTTCCTTAAGAGTAATTCTCTGTCAACAATTAAGAGAACAAGGTCTGGCGGTTAGCTTGATATAAACAAGACATTGATTCCCTATATCAAATGTAGTTAAGTATATTTTCAAAAACATCTTGTTTGACATAAATCATGTTTAAAATCTTGTCTTTTGCTTAGAGTATGCAACAAAGAAACTGGAGAATGAACTGAAGACACAACATTAGATGCATCCAAATAGGGAGTCATATATAGATGTAGAAATCATACGAGTGATTTCATTAATAAGGCCTGAATGGAATATAAGTAAAAAAACTAAAGACTTCTATTTAAATTGTGTATGCCTCAATTTTCGTAATGTCCTGGCTCTGTGATATAAACCCTACACAAGTTAAGATGGAAAGCAGTGCAAAGGAGAGTAAAGAAGACCAAATTCAAGTTCTGGTTTAAACCAAAAGGAGAAATGGATACACTTGAGACTTACCAATCAACTAAACAGGAGTGTACCAGATGATGAATATAGCATAGGGATTGGGTGTAGAATTTCTCTCAAGGTATAGTTTCAGTCAACAAGAAGGTTTATTTTAACAGCAAAATTTCTTTTGATTATTTTCTGTTCATTAACAAAATAATCCACAAGGGTAGAATGAATCCTTCTGGAATATAATAGAGAAAAGGCATAACATCATCTGAAATGACATGACAATCTATCTGAATTGCATTAATAGCAAACAAAAATAAGTTACTAAAACATTATATACCCTCAATGGATTTGCAACAAATATACGAGAAAGGAGGTGTCTGCAATCCTGAGATATGTGGACATAATCAGGGATTTGGTATTGAACAGCCATTATACGCTGCAGAAGAGAACAGGAAATGGGGATAAGATGATGAGATAATAATATCAAATGATATTAAATTCAGTATTTAAACGGAGGATTACATACCTGAATTGTTTTCCTAAAATTCCTAGGGTCATCCTGATCCTCAAAGGGATATGCTCCAACCAGCATGACATAAAGAGTCACTCCACATGACCATACATCAGCCAACTAAAACAATTTTAAGAATAGGAGAATATTAATATAATCGTTAATATATTGGTTCAGAAGTGTACAAATCCTTCATACATTTGATGCATATAAAAGTCTTTTCCAGGTAGCATGAAATAACCCCCCACACCCCCACCCACACCAAAAAAAAAAAAAAAAAGCAACGATTCTGTCATGCAGCAGGATGAAAATATATAGTTAACATCCAAAAACATATATGTGTGTGTGTGACTAAGATGTAAAGAACTATAAAGAACTAATCAATGTAGAGTACATATATTACCTTGCCATCATACTCCCTCCTAGAAAGGACCTCCGGTGCTATATAAGCTGGAGTTCCAACAGTTGATTTGGGTCGTGAATGAAGCAAAGATGACTGCACCACAAAAAAGAAACACTCAGAGATATAAACGCTAAAGTAAATATTATTAGGACTTGATAGTATTCATTCTAGATTTCTAGTACCTTGGAATAACCGAAGTCACAAATTTTCAAGCGGGGTGCAGGGCTTCCATCTAAAAGGGTATTTTCCAGCTTCAAATCTCTGTGGCATATTTGCTGCAAAAGAAGAGTAAAAGCATAGGTTCTCACTTTGTGTATTTCTGAACACACGAAGTCCTATAATTTTTCAGAAACTCAGAGAGTATGATTATACCATGGTATGACAGTAATGTACACCAGATATCAGCTGCTGAAAGAAATATCTAGCCTGAACAATCAAAGGGGAAAATGAATGAGATAAGGCAACAATAGTAATGACACTGAAAACTAAAGTGTGAAATAAAGCAGAAAATCCTGAGAGAGTATGTTAAGTTATTAACCTCATCTTCGCTGAACCTGCCAGCATTGCAAATCCTCTCAAAGAGCTCTCCTCCAGCTGCATACTCCATTACTATTGCTAAATGAGTGGGGGTCAAAACCACCTGCAAAATCCAAACCCCATTAAAAATAGAAGCACACAATTAATTAAATAGATTACTCAATTCAAATTAATCCAACAGGTAAACAAATAAAGTCCTTGCCTCCTTGAAGCGAATTATATTGGGGTGCCGAAGGGACCTGTGGTTGATAATCTCTCTCGCCACATTCTCATCAATCTGGAATTGAAGGAGGGGAAAAAAAACTTAAAATAATTACAAATGTCAAAATAATAGCTTTTCAATTTCATTTATCAAAAATAGAAACGAGAAACAACAAGTTAGGAGCCCTTTTCGTCTAGCCAGCTTGGCTTTCCAGAAGAACACAAGCAACATGCAGAAAATGAACCAGCCATATGTTGGATTTGCTAATTCAAAGATTAATTGACAATTTTGAGTTCTAAATTCTAATCATCAGTAATCACAAATAAATATCTCTGGGAAGGAGATGCTTCATACAAAAAAAAAAAAAAAAAACTAAAAGAGTTATATAACTGAATTTTCTATTCCCTGTCCTACATTTCTTTTATTCACGTGTAACGAAATTGTGACAAATGAATATGTTAAGACTTGTCCTGGATTTGCACTTTTGACAAATCAGAGCTCCAACCTCACTAGTCCTTTTATTGGTTATACCAAATGCAAAACGTGATTAGTTATAAATCTGAAGATTGAAGGAAGGCAAAACAAACAGAAAATAAAACTTTAATTATAATAAATAAATAAATAAAAAAGAAAAAAGACAGAGAGAAAGAAAGAAAACCTTGTGGCCACGCTCGATGTATTTCATGGCAACGAGCTCCTTGGTTTCCTTGTTCCTCATGAGCCTAGCCACCCCAAAATTCCCAGATCCCAAATCCTTCACGGCCTCGTACCTCTCCATAATCAAATCCTCAAACCCAACAACGATACTACGCAGGAAAGGTTATATTGATGGAAAGGGTTCAAAGTTCAAACTCAAATGGGCATGCAAATCCCTTGTGGAATCACAGCACCCTTTTGCACTCTAATTAAAAGGGCAATGTAAAGGAGGTCGCTTTCACTGGAAAAAATGGCTCTTTCTCAAATATTATATATATAATAAAATAGAGAGAGAGAGAGAGAGAGAAGGTGTGAATGAAGATTTATTTAGGATTTCATTTTAGAGTGAAAGGGAGAGTGAGGAAGAGGAGAGAGTGCACGTGGGAGTGAGAGAGAAGACATTAGAAAAATGAAATGGGTATGGGGATCCAATCAATGACCATGAGGATGAGGAACAACACCAGCTTCAATCCAGTTACTCACTGCCATCGGTTTACCTTTCTTCTTTTGCTGGCTATGCCTCTTTTATATTATTATATTATATTATTGTTTTTGATTTTTGCATTAACTTTTAAGCTCTGCAACTCGGAATTGGAGAATTGGTATATGCCATTGGTATTGGATCTCTAACAACGCCGTTGCTCAAGGAGACACCTTTCTTTTCATTCCTCTATCTCATTGTTGTTTTCACAAGCTATCTCTTCTTCTTCTTTTTATATATATATTTATTTTATTTATTTATTTAACAGCCTCTCTCACTCGCCCAAGAACCACTTTATGCCATTTAATTAACACAAAAATATTTTTGTAACTATTGCAGATAAATTATTTGCATTTACTTCTAAAATGATGTCATTTTATGAGTAAAAGATTAAAAAATTATAATTATAAAAACTATAATAATCTAAAAATAATATAAAATTATAAAAATATCATAATTTTCGTCTCAAAATAACGTCATATTGAATTTACTGCAAATAATTTATCTCCAGTAAATAAATTGCAGAAAAAGCAAATCTATTTAATTAATTAATAATTACTTCGTTAGGAATCTTGGATACATAAAGTAGTCATAAATAATTTTGATAGTGAATGTCCTTTGAAATAATGCCAATATATACCATTATTAAATGGAAAATATTTTTCTTATGTTGTTAAAGATGAATTATCTTATGTTAGTGAAACAAAATTATAAGAGAGATCTACAAATAACTGAAGAGAGCAAAAATAGAGGTGAAATCCACTTTTATTGTGTATAGAAAAATGAGTTATATCATATTAAATGAGATAAATATAACCCTCCTTGAATAATACTTAATGCAATGAATGTGATTTCTGTGTACTATCCAAAATCATTTTACGTTACTTGTTCTATTATTGTTTTTAAGGATTAAATTTTTATTAGTAAAATAAACAATAAACATTAATTTCAAAAATTAATTCCATTGTACAAGTAATATGTAGAAAACGCGTTGACCATATCATCCGGACTTTGTTCCCGTTGGCCGGAGCCGACACCGAGCAACACCGCCTTGGGACGGTGATTGGCTGATTGACCCAATTTCCTGAAACGGTATGGTATCAGTTACTAGTGAATGCCCATAAATAACTTATTGTCCTAAATCCATGTGCAATATTGTCAGACTCTTAGTCACCACATGTGATTGCGCGAGTCATGTGCCATCTCCCAAATTTTCATGTCCATTCTACTCATTCTCCAATCATTTGCTTGCATTTATTATCTCCACTGTTTTATTTTCTCTTATATTTCTTCTTCGTCTCTTCCTTTTATTTGATTTGATTTCGGACCGAGGTTTGATACAAATAACTTAGACAGATACAGCGTGAAGTATATATTATAATGTATATCTCCTGTTCTGTCCAGTTCAAAAACCTCAATGCATGTATAGGCTTTTTTTAATAACTATAAATGGATCAAGTCCTTCGATTCCCATCTATAGTAGGTATGGTCCCATGCATGCAACATTATTACTGTTGAAAAAAAAGTGACAGAGAATAATACAAAAAAAGTGTTTGATAGGCTAAAATATTATTAAAAATATTTATTAATTTTACTGAATGAGTATTTGGTTGATGTTAAAATATTACTGAAAAAATACGTAATTTTTACAAAACTGCCCTCCTAATAAATAACTTTAAACACGATGTTTTAGAAACAAAATTCATTAAACAGATTCATAAAACAACATTGCATTATGAACCACGATGGAGATCTCGACGTGCACAAGGTTAGGCAAGTTTCACGGCCTGCATCATGAAGTTAGATGGAGATCTGGTTAACGATTTGTGAAACAACTTATGCTATGACTCACAAGGGTATTTTTGTCTGCAAAAAATGTAATAGGCAGGTATAAAAAAATTACCATGTTAAATGGATACCTGGTTACAAAATATTCCAAGGCAAAATTTATGTTTTCCTTGTACCAAATATGAGTATAAATAATTCTCACTATTAAATTCCTGGATATCCATTTTATTACCATGTACCAAACAGCCCCTAAGGGTCCTTATTAATGTTGCACCCCAATATGTGATTTTTTTTCAAATGATGAAAACTTCATGTAAATAACCTTTTTAGTTTAAATTCGTGGAGTGGAAATAAGTATAAGAATGAGTTAAAAGCAATAAAATAATCATCCTTATTCTAATATTTAACTTTAAAATGATAGAACATAGCATTTCATTTTTATATATTAAAAGTCATAAACTGTAACCATCATTATGACTAATAATTATAAATATCTATATACACACATATGTACATGTATATTAAAAAATCTTATTACTTGAAATTTTTATTTCTATCTCCACGTGAGTAAGGTTATAAATATAATTTTCAAATTATTTTTTCTATAAAACTAAGAAATTGTTATTTTAGGAAATAGAAGCAATAATTGAGTCACTACTTCGTGTAAAATTCAGTGATTTTTTAGTACGTGGAGGTGAGAAGAAGGAGAGAGATGTGTATGTAATTTAGTGGAGAGTCGAACTTTAAATAACGTCACACTCCATAGTAAGCTAAGATCAATTTAATTTCAAATATGCTTAGCCCATGATTTAAGTTTAAGAGGTATGTTACCCTATACCACACGTAAATTTCAATTTAAGTATTAATATTTCTCATGTTATATTTTATCTCCTATATACCTAAAAATATGTGGAACCCATGTGAGGCCATGTAAAGAGAAGACAAAAAAAATTTATGATTCTCACACATTTTTATATCTGTGTAGGAGATAATGTTTTCGTACAATATTAGAAATATCAATTCCATAAATTTATAATGTTATTAAATTATATTTTATTATTTATAATATATCAAATTTGCATTTCTCATGAATACTCAACGGCACTACCACTAAATGTTTTGTGACGTGATATGCATATTTTTCGGAGGGGGATTCAATACTTTCCAGGGAACCTTCTTTTTATTTATTTTCTTCGTCTTTGGCTCTTCCAAAATGGGAGGTTATTTTTTTTAATAAAAAAATCAATTAATGATTTAATGCTAAAAAGTCAACTATTAATATTTAATAAATTACAGGTTCATACATAACAAATTAAGTTTGCTAGAATTCACTTCATTAATTTTGTCATCAATTATTGAAAGTAAAACTTAACTAGTAAAGTTTATTAAGTACTTATAGTTTTTTTTAATAAAAATATTATATGTACTATTTTGAATTACATTGTTTTTTAAATTAAATAAAATAAAAAATAATATACAAAATATGTTAAAAAAATAATACTACATACACCTATAGAAACACTTTTTAACTTTTATCTAGAGATAGTTATTCTACTTATCATTTTTTTGTCTATTTTTATCTATCATTTTAAAAGATTATTATATTAGAATCTTAATTAACATTTATATTTCTCTCTCCTCTTTAGATTCTGATCTAACTTTGAAGAGTAGTAAACAATGATAGATAAAATAACTTCAATTTCTTTACTTTTATCTTTATAAATGCATTAAAATGAAAGGATCACATTAGGCGCGGAGCATCAAATTTTTTTCCTAAATTGAAAATGCTAAAACCTCGAAGGCTCGAACCACACAATAAAATAGTTGTGATGTGACCATATGAATTATTTTTTATTTTTTATTTTTGTCTTGATGGGATAACTTTTAAAATATATATTTAGATGTCGGCAATGGGAGAGTTTCGCGTGCTATTGTTATTCATCGAGTATTGAGTTGAACAAAAAGGGTACCTTACTTAACGTTGTCAAAGAGGGGATAAAGACAATTAAAGATTGAACAGCATAGTTACACATACCCTGCACTGTAGAAATCATTTTCATCACATTAAATACTTTTGCTACACTTAAAAATCCAGATGCCAACTTACAAATGGCTATCACCTTAAATGCACCTTATCCATTTAACATGCCAATTTGATATTTCCCCTTCCAATTACTACCCATCGCTCTCCACCGTTAGTGTTACTTCAAATTAATGATGTTTCACATCATTATAGTCCTACCCTTGTCTCTTATATCGAATATAATGGTACATTTCTTTTTTAATTTTATTTTATTTAAATAATTGGAAGAACCTATCACTAAAGTAGACTCTCAAGATGCCAAAAGGGGCTCACACAGGAAGAGAAAGTAGAGAAAAAAATAGATATGAAAGCGAAGTACTACATCATCTCATAGTTTCATTATTTTACAGCTTTATCAATTTAATTATCTTAAACAACTGTATGTTGCTGTATTGTATCAATTTAATTCTCTTAATTTTAGTATTCGAGTAAACCTTTTTGAAAATAATATTTTAATAGCAGTAAATAAAAAAATTTAAATGTGAAAATATAAAAATATAATAAAATTACCTTAATGGATTATTTAATTGAGAGTTAAATCAGCTTGCCATAAGTATTTTAAGAAAGTATTACTGTATTTTGCCTTTCCATGCATTGCAAATTATAGAATCATGTTATTTCTAATCAGGTAAAGCACCTAAGAACTTACTTTACTTTCTGCATCAGTTGTATTTTTTGGCACTTTATTTTAGTTGCGATGGAATATACATATCGTGTATTATTTGGACAATTTTTTATATTGTCACTCGGGTATCGCTTATACTTCGCATGTTGATGAGGATTCTAGTTGTCGGGGTCAGCAGGAAAGCAACTGGGGTCCCACTCCCAGGTGAGCGGGCGGGGGTCCAGGAGCAGCGCCTCCAGACCCGTAGAGGCTAGGTACTGTTGTGGCCTCTGATTTATTGTAATTTTCTTAACAGTTTGGGCTTGGGCCTATGAATAGCTGTTGTTAGGATTTTCTAATCCTATTTATATTTTCATTGTAAACCGAGTGACTTGTAAAGAGTGACGGTGAGGTGAATATTGTACAGACAAACTAGACGTAGCTTATATTGGGTGAACCAGAGTAAATCGTTGTGTCTATTCTCTCTCTTTCGTTTTTGATTTGTGTGATTGTCGATTTCTAACAAATCGTATCGAACTGTGAGATACAAAAATAAAAGAAAAATTAATTCAAAAATATTTATTAAAATATTTATTTTGTTATTTTCTTTATTAAAACAGATTTTTCGATTAATTTTTTATTTTTAATCACAAATCAATCTTTATTTTCCTTATTAATAATTACGTTTTAGAATTTTTTTATTT